CCGCCCGTACGCCAAGACCACATCCACTGCTCCAGTACAGTCAATCGGGCAGAACATTGCTCCATGGGCTACGCTCAACGCTGGGATCTCACCTGCGAAGCCGTCTCCACCGAGGAATGCAAAAGCACCCGCAGCGACCTTTAAACTCACGCACAAGCGCACACTGAGCCCTGCGCCTGCAGCAGAGCCCGAGCCCGTCTTCAAAGCACTGCGCCCTGCCACAACGAGGGTGCCAGTATCTGTATCGGGACGCACTGTGTTTGCAGCGCCTGCGGGCTTGCCGTTCATGGGTAACCCGGATCGTTCGCCGTCATCTCGCACGTTTGGTTCTGTGCATTCAAAGTCGAGCTCTCGTGGGTCGCTTGGCACTAGTCCGGTGTTCAAGAAGGCGAGAGGACACGAGAGGAAGCAGTCGTCGCTTGTGCCTGTGGAGCATGCTTGTGGTATTGTGAAACCGCTTGACAGCCCAAGTCTACCCATTGCCCCTGATGCACGCCGCAATCTTGGTCTTGCAGGGACGTTGGGCGGGTCTATAGGAGAACAAGAATTGGACGCGAGTGATCCGGACTCAGACATCCCAGATGAATTGCAGATTATTTTATCGAGTTCCGATCATGAAGCCGACGATACGTTGTCGTTCCATCCTAATCCGACGATCGCGCACCCACCATTGCCCTCGCCTGGCCTCCCGCCTGAAATGCCACTCCCCTCACCCAAAGCCGAAGTCCCTGTGTTCCGCGCTAATGTCATCGATGAGGACGAGCACCAAGCTGATATCGAAGAAGCTGGGATGTCATCCGAGGACGATACCAAAAAATCCTTTGACTTTACGGGCGAGCTGCAGAAGCTGAATGAGTCTGGAGGGTCTGATAGGCTTAGCTTCGTGGAGCAGCTGGAGAACGCGTTCCGCACCCCTGCCAAGATCGATCTGCGGTACGACTTTGACCTGCAACTCGGTGTTCCGCCTGTGCCCAAGATCCCGTCATTGCAGGCGGAACTAGAGCGCGCGGGAGATAGCACGTTCAGCTTAGCTATGGACTGTACCTTGCAGGACGCGGAGTTCTTACCTCAAGGTTTCCCGATGGATGTGGACGCCGAACCTTCGTTGCTTCCTGGAACGGATAGCTTTGCCACGACGAATGATGGGGAGGATGAAGATTTCCTATGTGCAGAGCGTCCTGTCTTGAGGAATGCTGGGTCCATGATGTCGCGTCCATCGGAAGGACAGCTCAATAGGGACTTCAAGTTTGGTGGCAAGCCATCGCCCGCACCCTTTGCTGAAACGATCGAGGAGCCGCTAACACTCTCGGATATCATTCCTCCTTCTGCTATTGCCAAGTCCCTCTCTGCAACGTCTTTGGCTGATGATGAATCCGCCGTTCCTCAAGTCCATATTTGCAAAGGCAGTTGAAATTCCCTCACCTCCCATCCGCTCTCGCTTCGATTCAGACTCTAGCTCGAAGCGCATCGCGCGCTCGGCTGCACACAATTCAAATGTCCCAGGCCATTACAGAAACTCTTCGGAGCTGAGCTTTGCGGGCTTTGACTCGTTCGCAGAGGTGAGAAGAGGATTCGAGTTCCGCGACGATCGTCCGAATTTCTACCCTCCGCCGGGAGCCACTTCGCGTGGTCAGCACAACAGACGCGAGTCTTTGTTCAGCATTGCGTCCGTCTCGTCATATGGACAGGTCATCAATCATGGGTCGACGGATCCTTTCGACTACGGGGCTATGGGACCACCACTCCCAAGTCTTCGGGAACGTCCTTCCTCGGACGAATTCTCGTTCTCCATGTCGTCTCTTGATGATACATTCTCGTTCATCCACAGACAGCCTCGCAGGAAACGCGTTGATAGTGATGCGTCCAGCTTCTACTTCCGTGCCCCAGTGCACTCGCAGATGCACCCGTACAATCGCGTTACCAGTCATCGCCGCCACTCGTCGTCAGCCTCCGTTGCATCGTTGGGTCCGCCAATCAGCTTGTACAACCGCAGCAATGGACATCACCGCCGCAGTGGCTCGACGACTAGCATGAGCAGCTTTGCGCAGTCGTACGCTCATGGCGGGCGTGCTTCCTGGGCTAGACACCGCCCAGAGTTCTCTGTTGACTCCATGGTCAGCGACTTCTCGGGGGTTCATCTCGGGAGACCAGGGCTCGGAGACAAGATGCTCGATTCTGCACTGGATCGTGGCATGCCACTTACCGCCATTTCTGCATCACCGCCCGAAAGCCCTGCCGGAAGCGTCCGAAGCGAGCAGTTCCTGAGTGGTCAGTACGCGAATCGCACATCCTATGACTCGATCATGGGTTCGGACCTTGAGCCTCAGCCAGCGTCCAACATAGAAGACTCGCTCTTTGAGAAGACCGGCCACAGGACATCGGTTTCTTCGTCTGACTCTGCGTTCTTCGGTGTGGACTCTTCGCATGCGCCACCTCAATTCAAACGGTTATCAAGCTTTAGCATTGCCAGTGTTCATAGTCCGCAGAAGGAAGATGACACGATGATCAGCGTAAGTTGCTGGGATTATGCTTGCTAATTTGTTGTTTACTTCTATCTCTTGCAGATGCTTGGTGGTGGCCATGTTCGACGCCGCTCAGTAGGATCGATGATCGAAGCGTCACCTTGTCGTCAAGTTGAAAGGAGGAAACACACAGCAGTCGACGCTCCCCAACCAACCTTCCGTCTCAAGGGCAAGCTCCAGGATGACTACGAATCTCCGAAGAGCAGAGTTATTGGAACCAAGCCATCGATCGCTTCGACTGCACACTCAGTGAAGTTCGGTGACGAGCGCATGATTAGAGCCAAGCACGGTCTTTTAGAGAGGCAGAGTTTGGAGAACACTGTGTTGATTGCGGAGGGAGAGGATGATCTGTCGGCATCTTGTAAGTCTGTTGATCGCAGTGGGGTTGTTTGTCTTGCTCACCGGTGTACTAGTCCGTATCCCCGTCTTCACCCGCCCTTCTTGCGCGGGCCGTTCTCGCTCCAGCACGTGTACGTCGATGAGTTCTGGTGCAGAGACGCCTCCACTTTCGATCTCGGATGGCTATTCCTCGTTCTCCGAAGGCTCGCAGTCCAGCATCGACCTCTCACACGTCAATTATATGCTTTCCAACGTCACTCATCCTTTATCGAACGCTACCTTGGATCGAGTGAGACCACGCGCTCGCGGCCACGGTCACCGACGACGGATATCTCAAGCTCGTGCTTCACGAACGTCGATCTACGAGACCATCGAGGAAGAACTTACCACATCACTTTCTTCAACTTCGTCCCTTCAGTCGCTTCCAGGTTCTGCAACGAAGACCATTCGATTTCCTGATTCGACGACAAAGGCAATTGGTCGTGCCCCTGTGTTTGTTGCTGATCCTGAGACTGCGTCTGTCGATTCGGTGTCATTGTGGGATGACGAGAGGGGTATCATGGCGCTACGCAAGTACTATGCACTTCGCGACGAAGCTCAAGATACAGTAACAGAGAGTCAGCGAGTCTGGCTTGACACGCCGTTCTCCGTCTTTGCAGTTCAATGTGAGTACTTACCACCTGTTTTTCTATACTTCGCTAAATGCCCCTCAGCGTTCGATCCTCCTCGTCAACCTGCCAGTATGCAAGCGCTCTTGGAACATTCGTTACAGAACTACGGACCTTTACCTTCGGATTTGCGCCCTCGACGCATGCGCTCCCGCGTCATCTCTCGACCTTCGCCCTATCCTAGGACCATCAAGACCTCCTTCACGTCTTCCCCAGCCACCGAGCAAGTGAGGGCGGCCATTGTTGCCGCTGTCGCGGAAAATGCTCCCAATGACACCGTGCGCGCCCAAGTTCAACCTAAGGCACTGCAGCAGATTTCCGTCAACCCGAACATCATGTCACCTGCTATCGACAACACCAAAGCAGGGGAAGTCATGAAGGACGTAGCCATGTCACCTGGTAAACCTGAGCGCGTGTTCGGCGTCCCGCCCCGTCCTCGCGTTGGCTCAGTCGCGCGAAGAGCCGCCTTGGGTTGGGCTAAGCGGAGCACTGGCCGCAACGGGTTGGAGAATAAGGAGAATGCTAGCTTCAGTAACATCTCTCTGACAGCTGTTCCTGGTAATATGTCGCAAGGCTTGGTCATGACGTGAGTGTGATGTCGCATCCGCGTCTGCATTGTGCTTAACATTTGTCTAGGCCATCGGAAACGCTGAGACTCAACCGACCTCGTCCTAGGGGAAGGCCCACGCCCGCCTCGGCGAGGCCCATCCGTGTTTGACAGGGCTGGAAAACCTATCATCGAGTGTGCTTGTATCACACATTCACATCTTGAGGCTAGCAGCCTTTCGAAGAGGAGTATAACTGCCACAACCCTGGGCGCTCTCCCATTCATCACGACTAGTTCCCTATCGCTATGCTATGACAGCTATTCTATGCCATATTCTTTCTTGCTTCGCTGATACAACCAAGCTCATTGATACAGGTTATCCTGACGCACTATTTGACCAAATTTTGGCGTTCTTGATATATTGCTTGCCGTTTTCAATATATTGTCTTCACAATGGCCTGGTTCTGAGTGTGCAGCTACATAGCGAGCAATGGATAATGTAAATTTCTTGAAATTCTAGTGCTGTTACTGAGAGTAGACGATGTGAAGTATGCCCAACATCTACAGCGATGTCGAGTCAACCGACAATGGACTGTAATTATGAGACAAGATAGGACTGAAGTAGCATCCTCATACGACCTCAGGGTAATTGTGCATCATGTACCTGAGCTCCACTTCCGGAATCCTCGTCTTAAAGTCGATCGCACATGGCTCCTCATTTGGTGGCATCCCGCTCATATAACCCATGTCATCTAGCGGCTTTGTGCGATCAATAGCAAGCTGGAACGCCCAAAGAATAAGGACCGAGTTTATAAACACCGATCTGCCTGGATTCAGAAGACGATGTGTGTGCAAGAATACATTACATACCTCTTTGCAAGGTGTTGAGCGGGACATATACTAGAACAGATAGTTAACGAAAGAAAATCATGGAAGACGGTGCGTACCGCCGACCAAACCCAAAGACAAAGAACTCAAGATCGTCCCTCAGGCAACCTTGGTCGTTAATCCAACGCTGAGGCTTAAACGCCTCGGGCTCAGGGTAGACTTCTGGGTCTCGAGAGATCGCCCTGAGGCAGTAGTCATTAGATCCTTTGTATTCTGAAGGGACGATGCTTACCAATGGTTGCCGGTCACAGTAGTCCCGGCGGGAATGCAGTAGTTTCCCTGCAGTTTTATGCCTGTTTAGCCTATACACGACAAGTCGCTCAAAAGACCACTTGCCCAAATCACGTCTTTGGTCGTCCTGTGTGGTGTTCCTGCAGTGTGAACTTTGTGAGTTTTGAGCTACAAAGTTGACAATGAAATACTAACCATTGGGAACCAATGGTCTCCACCTCAAAGCCTCAGAGATAAAGGCCTGCAGACGAGGAAGGGATCGTTCATCAACAAAAGTTGGTGCTTTGGTGGAGACATTATTAAATCCAAATCTGCAATATGAAACAAGCTACCTCGGTGCCTTCCGATGACCGCGTCAAGCTCAGCCTGGACTTTAGCTTGCTCCTCAGGGAAACAAGCTGCTGCCATTGATACCGTGCATATCGCCAAAGCAGTCTGAGACCTGATCTCAGCAACATGTCTTCCGAAACAACACAACAAGACACTTCACCGTATCAGTTCCAGCTACGAAAAAAGCGCCGGCAAGAAAAGCCATCTCTGGCTCCGTCAAGCCACAGAGATGGCGATTTTCTAGCATGTATCTCCCGAACGAGGGGCCAATATCCGGGTTACCCTGAGTCGGGCATGGAATCGATCAGAAGTCGCACAAAGATCGACTAGACAATGCATACTATTTGCTGTTTAACGCGGTTAAGCTGATTGGTATAGAGTTGCCTGCTCATTTCAAACCCTCGTTTTAGTTCTTTACCATACCAAGGAAGGTATTTGAGCCACGGGATAGCATCCACCAGGTAAGTGCCAGGTTGAATGGCTACACGGAATATCCTGAGAAACTGGCGACTCTCCTTGACTTCATTATCAGTCGCAGCCGTGGGTGTATCCTTCCCATATGCGATTTTTGTGATTGTTGTTGCAGCATAGCTTCAAAATGATCATAAGTCATGTACTGTCATAACCACAGCACTTACGTTCTCGCATGATTATGGAAGTTGTATGGATCCTCAAGAATGCTGAGAACGGTGTTCTTCGCATGTGACATCTGCAAGGGCTGATATTCCTCCGCTGCTTTAGGCTGGAGATGCCTATGAAGTGCTCTGTATCGGGTTGTAAAGTAAGATAGGGACTATTTCGCCTTCCCAGTGTCACTCAGGCTACGAACCTACGCATCCGACGGAGCCGGTCCCCAGCAGGTGTAAAGACGATGGACAGTCCGCCGCTAAGAATTTCACCGGCAGCAATTAGGCGAGGACGGTCGACGAGCGATCCACTCTGTTTCTCCATGATATCTACTGCGGTCTGCAACAGGATGTTTCGAAAGTTGAGCCTCAACATAACACCTCAACGTGGATGAACTGACTTTGTGACGGCCAATGATAACGATTTTCTGGGCTCCTGAGCGAATGGTGACCAGAGGACCGTACTCGTCAATCCATCCACCTACAGTGAGAAATGGGCTGGTCAGCGATGGACACAATTAGCATTAAAAACGCAACGAGTCACATGCGAAGCTTTACCTGCGAAGGGGCAGGAAATGCCCCCATAGTCTCCAAGTGGGAGGGGATGGTGGGAGGGGAAGGCTACTCTCTGATTTAGGAAGGTAAGCCTGAACGATCATTCGTACTGCCCAAAGGCAAGCCACAGCACCCAGGACGTGCTGCATGTTCTCAGAAAAGCACAGATCAGGCAGCTGTAGCATGACTAGTGAGAGGGCATACATGGAAGATCCGAGTGGCCTTTAAGATATACCTTGAACGCCAATCATAGGGACTCCGACGATGCTTCGCTCATGCATACCTACAATTGACTCGTTTACTCCTTATGTCCAGCGCAATGCCACGTCAATAAAGTAGTAAAGACTGGTGGGCGTCAGGGTGAGCCTTAGTAAGTGATCGATCAAGCTACCCATATGATTGCTCCATCTCAGCGGCGCCATGCATGCGTCAAGTTCAAATGGGATATTCATCACCACGTAGTACACCCTGGGAGAGCCTAGGATGGGCGGGTCGGACTTCCGAGTCTCTTAAGCGGATCTTCCCAACTCCGATATGACAGTATGTTCAGTCAGCATGCTTCGACGGGTCCCGTCGGCGTGTCTCGTCCTCACCTCTGGTTGTGGACGAGTTCCTAGAAGAAGTGATATAATATCAAGCGGTCGTAGGTTCGATAAGACATGACACAATCACCTAACTTGTTTCCAACTTGTGGGTGGATAATTCCTGATGATTCGAAAATTGAGATGAACAAATTTGGCAGCCCGTGAGCGTAAGTTGATGAAGGACGATTCCCGAATCCCATATCGCTTAAACGCTGCTTAAATACTGAGAGTCCAGCGCAAAGCCGTCCTGGTGGGAGAGGCAAGCGATGATATGCGCACTACTAACTGTGCTTTTATCACGCGCTTACATAACAGAGCTCACCGCGTCTCACGATGATGTCATCAGTCTCCAGGAGGAATTGATAAGTAAGGCGAGATCTTGGAGAATTACGTACCCTCCTCCGAGTCGTTCAGCTATGCCCTTTGCGAGATCTAGTGGAAAGTTGATATAGTCTCGGTTCTAGACGATGGAGCAGTGTAGGTTAGGCCACCGGATCCCTAGTACTTACCTACCGTCTGAAATCGAGGCTAAGACGATATACGTGTAAGCCTATCGCTTACGACATCACATCACGTGGCTGTTCGGTTCCCTTATATCATCGCGCTATCCATTGTTTATCGCAGACTCGGGTCTCTTAGCTACTACTACATTGTTCCCTTGTATTATCGAAATCCACGATCTTGTCTCGTTACTTCTCGCCCGATCCGTCTTAGTGTTTCCCGCCGTACCACGGCGGGCCTCCACTTTTTTTTTTAACGCCGACAATATCATCAACTCTTAGAACGATCATCTGTTGGGCCACCCGCCCGCTTCCTGAACCATCAAACTGCCTCCTAAATGGAGGGTCCCAACTGTTCAACAGTCTCTGACCACGCGTTCGCGTGCAAAGAACCAAAACCAACCGTCTCCTGTCACCTCAGTCTCATCTTCGCTATCCTCACTCCCATCAGATATCTCATCCTTACTTATTACCTCTACCAAACCGCGTGACGACTCCTCGTCAGACTCAGAAACAGACACGACGAACGTAACCTACCCCCTCACTCACACAATGACGAAATCAGCCACAGTGGAACAGTCCGCCCCCAACAAACCACCAAGGCTTTTGGCGGGTGAACTCACACCTGAAGTCATCCGTGATTGGGACAACGCATGCTCCACCTACTTCATGCACAAAGAAGTAAAAGAGAAGAACCAAGTCAAAATGATAGCATTCGGCATGCTGGATCCACGCTTGCACACCTGGTACCTGGCTTCGCGAGCAACCCTAGACGTGGGAACATTTCAAGAATATATGACCGCTCTCAAGGACGCGTGGCTTGAGACGCACTGGGACACCAAACTTCGCAAGAAGGTATTGGGCTCACAACAGGGCACGCACAGCTTCTACGAGTGGGCACTTGAACTACAAAACCAAAACGCCCTTCTGTATGGTAATGCTGCTCATCTCTCGGACGTACAACTACGCAATCAACTCGAGGCGAATATATGCGACGACCTCACCACTTCTGTACTCAGAGCGAATCTTGACACAAACCTAACTCTGAAGAAATGGATCGAGGAAGTCAAACACCTCGATGACAAGCGTCTCGAGGATCTTGCCTCACACAGGAAGATTGCTGAGGACCTGTACAAATCATCCAAACGCACACAGCCCCAAACATCCACGAAAACATTGTCCTCCTCCCGCACTCCCGCATACTCCTCCTCACGTCTCGGACCACTCACAATGGCCGAACGCACTCTGCTCACTGATCATAATGGTTGTTTCAAATGTCGCAAGTTTTATGTCTCTCACAGGTCAAAGGAATGTACGGACGGTGCTCCCAATGCAGCCTCGTACAAACCATTGACAGAAACAGACGCCTTGGCGGCCAAGCCCAACGCCAACAAGACTGACAAACCTGTGAAAACCGTTGCCGCTGTCGCACCTATTGGAGCCGTGATGCCCTCCTCCGTACTCGAGTGCGATTCAGACTCTGATAACGACACGTGCGTAGCCCCTTTTGAAACTCCCCATTTCTTCTGGCCCTGTCTTTTGACGGGACCTGCCTCCGAATCATTTGAACGTATAGATGCATTGATTGACCATGGGTCACATCTAGTTCTTATTAATGAAGACATCGTGACCAGACTCGGTCTACGCAGACGCAAACTGCATACAGAGATACAAGCAAACTCAGCGTTCCTTGCATCGTCTAACTCTTCCTTGTCTTTTTCTGAATATGTTCATTTGTCTCCGTCTTCTCTTAATCATGACTGGCATTCGCGTATGATACGTACAATTGTTGCGCCTGACCTCATCGTGCCCCTGCTCCTTGGGGGGCCGTTCTTATCCCATAATTGCCTCCTCATAGACCATGAACTTCACACCTGCATCAGCAAACTTTCAAATTACGACCTTCTTAATCCACCGACACATATGAAACATGTACCTATAACAATTCCATCTCATCGTGATGTATTACGCCTACGAAAAGATGTACTTCATGAACTCCAAACTGTCTTGACCTCGCAGCACGACAAGAACAATGACCACACCATTATTGAAGCACCCAATGTAGCAACCTTGTTACGCCGACGGATTGACGTACTCGCCTTCATCGAAGCCAACAAGGCCCAACTCGATCGACTAGACACTGAAATGTGTCGTAAGTACGAAGACCGCTTCCCGACTGACATTCCCCATATCGATCAGCTCCCAACTGAAATTGTACACCGCATCCGCCTCAAAGACCCCAACAAAATCATCCAATGCCGACGGTACAATACTCCTTGTAAATACCGTGAAGCATGGGAAACCCTACTCAATGAACACATCGCAGCGGGACGTTTACGACCATCCAGCAGTCCATTTGTGTCTCCTGCCTTCCTCATCCCTAAGAAGGACCCCACTGCACTTCCACGCTGGGTGAATGATTATCGAGCACTAAACGCCAACACGATCCCTGACAATCACCCCCTACCACGTGTTGACGAAATTCTTCGCGACTGCGCAAAGGGCAAAATATTTGGAAAGATTGATATGACCAACTCATTCTTTCAGACAAGGATGCACCCTGACGACATCAAATACACAGCCATTGACACACCAAAAGGACTACACGAGTGGACCGTGATGCCACAGGGAGGGAGGAATGCACCAGTGACACACCAATATCGGATGTTCATCGCACTCCGCCCCCTCATCGGCAAAATTTGTCACGTATACCTTGACGACATCATAATATGGTCTGGAACCGTCGCCGAACATGTTAAGAACGTCCAACTGGTCCTCGACGCACTCCGTAAAGCATGCCTATTCTGCTCCCCGAAGAAGACCTCCTTATTTTGCACTGAACTCGACTTCCTCGGACACCACATATCTGCATCAGGCATCAAGGCCGATGCTTCGAAAGTCAAGAGGATACTAGACTGGCCCGTACCAAAGTCCGCGAGTGACGTACGCTCATATTTGGGACTAGTACGATATCTTGACCAATTCCTACCCAACCTCGTGGATCATACTCATATCCTCACGCCCCTTACAACGAAGTCAGCTGATCAACTATGGCCAGGGTGGACAACAGAACACCAACTAGCATTTGACGCCATCAAATGTCTTGTTATCAGTCGAGACTGCCTAACAACCATTGACCATGACAACCTCGGTGACAACCATATCTATGTCACATGCGACACTAGCGACTGGCGCACTGGAGCCATGCTCAGCGTAGGACCAACACCCCAGACTGCACGACCCATTGCATTTGACTCGATGCAGATGCGAGACGCCCAACTCAACTACCCCGTCCACGAGAAAGAGCTACTCTCAATCGTCCGCGCCCTCAAGAAATGGCACATTGAACTGCTTGGTACCCCATTCACTGTCTACACCGACCATCGCACACTAGAAAACTTTCTCACACAACGCGAATTATCATGGCGCCAGGCACGATGGCAAGAATTTTTTGTGCAGTACGACTTCACCATTCAATACATCCCTGGAGAAGAGAACTCAGTTGCTGATGCCCTCTCCTGTTTACCTCTGGAAATTGACGACATCCCCTCTTATACACGGGAAACTGTCAACCTCCCGTCCAACACAGGAACCAACATCAAGCCTATCGGATTGATCCTGTCTGTCACTCCTGATGCCTCGCTACTAAATGATATCAAAACAGGATACAAGATGGATCCTTGGTGCGTGAAACTGGCTAAACTGACAGGCTCCCTACCAGGCCTACAGAATCGCGACGGACTACTGTACCTGAACAACCGCCTCGTGATTCCACGCCAGACACATCTTCGCGAAACTTTATTCCGCCTTGCACATGACGACCTCGGCCACTTTGGGGTCGACAAATCTTATGCAGCGCTGCGCGAATCATTCTACTGGCCGAACATGAGAAAGGACCTAGAAGAAAGCTATGTTCCCGCCTGCCCTGATTGCGCACGGAATAAAAGTAAAACGACTAAGTCACCTGGCCCCCTACACCCTCTACCGGTACCAGACCACCGCGGAGATTCAGTATCTATCGACTTCATTGGTCCATTACCCCTCGAACATGGCTGCGATGGCATAATGACAATCACAGATCGCCTGGGCGCCAATATACGACTTGTCCCCTGCAGGATGAATATGACAACACCCGAGATTGCAAACCTCTTCTTCAACCACTGGTACTGCGAAAACGGCCTGCCACTCAACATCATCTCCGATCGTGACAAAATCTTCACTAGCAAATTCTGGAAAGCACTACACCGACTCACCGGTATCCGTCTGAAACTCTCAACGGCCTACCACCCACAAATGGATGGCGCCAGCGAACGAACCAACAAAACGGTCAACCAAGCCTTACGGTTCTTCGTCGACCGTCACCAATCGGGATGGGTGAACGCACTACCACGCATCAGATTTAATCTCATGTCTTCCGTCAATGCCTCAACCGGTTACACTCACTTTCACCTCCATCTCGGACGATCACCACGTCTCATCCCTCCTTTGACGCCAGCGAATGTCCACACAACAATGGACGATTTTGGGATTGAAGTCACTAACGCGCTCGACGCAATCATGACCCTGAAAACTGACATCGCAGACGCGCACGACGCACTGCTGGCAACCAAAATCTCACAAGCCAACTCGGTGAATGCACATAGAGCCGAAGATCCAAATTTCAAGATCGATGACATGGTATACCTATCTACCGCACACCGTCGACGAGAATACCTCAACGGTCATTCACGACGCGTCGCTAAATTCATGCCAAGATTCGATGGACCTTATAAGATAATTTCGGCTCACCCTGAGTCATCCTGCTACACTCTCGAACTACCATCACATACTAACAAACATCCCACTTTTCACGCTTCAGAGCTCAAACGTCACATACCCAACAACACAGCTCTGTACCCCTCACGAGAACAACAACGTCCAGGGCCTGTCATCACAGACAGCGGAGCCGAAGAATGGGAGATAGAACACATCCTTGACCATCGGACGCGCGGTCGTGGCTCTCAATACCTCATACGCTGGCGCGGATACGGACCTGAAGCTGACCTCTGGCTACCCGGTCATGACGTCGAAGACTCCCCCGCTCTACAAGAATACAAGATCAGACAAAGTTCTTCGGAGGATGGGAGGGTGTAAGCCTATCGCTTACGAAATCACATCACGTGGCTGTTCGGTTCCCTTATATCATCGCGCTATCCATTGTTTATCGCAGACTCGGGTCTCTTAGCTACTACTAATATTGCTCCCTTGTATTATCGAAATCCACGATCTTGTCTCGTTACTTCTCGCCCGATCCGTCTTAGTGTTTCCCGCCGTACCACGGCGGGCCTCCAATACGTTTGATTACGAGTTACTGGCTGACGAGTGGAATTCATCTGTAGAGAGGTCCACAATTCCCATGATGCCTTGCTTGGTCCAATTGGTAAGTCTACAGGAGTTTGCCCGTTTATGTTTTACAGTTGCTCACTAGCTGAATGCATACGTGCAAGATATAGTCTGGCAAAAACTGGTTGACGTGGGTCACGTGGAGTGCGGGAGTAGAAGTGAAAGGATCGAACCAGAGTGGGATCCTATCGGAGGCAATAAGAAGCTTGAAAGTTAGTACTTGGTCGAAGTTAACGGTCGGACAACCGTGCATGAACAAGGATCAATTATGTTTTCCCTAAATTTTACTGTCTTTGACTTCACGTGCCTCGAGGAGCAACACCGAGGCAAACTTCCGCGCAGTACCGTCGTGTCCTAGAGTTCTTCTGTCAATAGAATATCGACAACAGCCTGAGAGCAAGTTGATTTGTCTGTTGACAATCTGCTGGTATTGCAGATCTCATCTGTTCGAAAGGGGATTTCAGGTGGATTCCTACATGAAGTTCTGCCAGAACACTATTCAGCACATACTAGAAGCAAGTCAGATTGATTTGAACCCGTATCACATCCTCAACAAACAATGCATTCTCCTTCATCCTCGCCGTCGTTGCTGCTTTGACAGCATCGATATCTGCCAGCGACGATAATTGTCCCATCCTTTGCTCCGAAGTAAAGTGCTGCGCTGGGCCGAAATGTGTGCCCAACATTCATCGATGTTATTGTGAATATGAGTAGTTTGCATCCTGGATTTAACCGCATGACTCACCGGCATGGTAGGATGCAATCGTCGATCAATGTCAGTGAGTGGCATGTCGGACGGTGAACTACAGTGAATTGTGTTTTTTTTTCCGCGATTGGTGCCGCATTACAGTTGATGGCACGAAGGGTGAGCGAGTAGTAGTTTGTTGCTGAGTCGATCAACATTCTGAACATCTGAACAAATTTTCCTGCCCCTCGAGCAATATTGGAGATCTTGGAATAGAGGAACGTCTCAAGCACTTGAATACATAACATATGACTGAAGTACTTACGATGCAGTTATGTAGTCTCGTTGTAAGTTTAAACATAGAACCCCGCAATGACACCACGATTCCTCCCGTCACTGAGGCGCTTCTTATTGGCCTCATGGATGCATTTTTGGTCTGCAGTGAGCCGCCGGGGTCTATCATGAACATTAGATGGTGGAAAGTAAATTTGTTGTCGTCGAATTGCGAAAGCTCAAGATCTAGAAATGGCACTTGTGGGAGGTCATGAAAGTCCATGCGAGAGGCTACAGGGGAGGACTCTGATCCAACAGAACTGCTAATAGCTTCGATGTCGTCAAGAATGACTAGTAGGCGTAAACGGAATAGATACATATCTATAGCATAGGCTTATATAATTTTTGTATCTGTCTGAAACAGAGTGGAGAGAGAAAATGACAGCCCGACACCGTTGGACGAAATAGGTCATGCCATGATGTAGAGTCTAGACACATGCGTGACTTCGAGCTTGCGTGGAGTTTTCTCAACGTCTGGTTTCGAGACTACGGAATTCAAAATCAATTCCTGTCTTCATTCTCCCTACTAAGCATGGCTTTTGACATGAGCTCGCTCATCCTTCTATTTGTCTGTTGTAAGATTGAATGCACTACATTTCTACGGGCAGGTGCAAGAAGATGTGCTACTTCTGCTAATCGTATCGTGAGCTTCGTAAGAGGGCACTGCAAGGCTTCTACATATACAACTCATTGTATCTACAAAAATCGGATGGAAAAACGGTCGCAGAATCAGCTTTATAAGAGGCATTGAGAACTAGCATCCTGATCACAGCATCAGTAAACGCATCAGGGAGAATGATTGACACACAATTGGATAAGAGCTCGACAGCTGTGGAGTCTGCCTCTGAGTCCGGCGTAAATTTTCCTGCACGGACGCAAGCACCTGCAAGTATGTTTGTGTTGGGGTTTCCGCTGATGCCAGTAAATACTATAGTTGTCATTACAGGAATACAACTCACTGAGTGACGAGATGAAGGCCTGATAGTCTATTTGGTCAGAAATCACGAACACATATTAAGGACTGCGCACAGAGGACATAGCTCCGTGAAACTCTCCACCCCTTATGATGATGCCCCCACTGCCTTGGAGGTCGCTGCAACCTGCAAACAACACCTAACGTCGACCATCAGATGGACTTCGAACATTTCGAACGTTCCACTTACCACGTGAGCTTGTGGGTACTCTGCTAGAGCTCGAGAGTTCGGTTTTAGGCGGCCACTGGCTCGATACTGAGCAAATGATTAGACAGCCATGAAGGCACCGACTCATATCCTGGCACTGACGATGTATGGCAAGTCTGCGCGAAATCAATCAACAAAGAACCATGACTGACGCAACTGCTTCATACCAAGGACCGTTCCAGAATGACACGACTAGTGTTCATCATATCATCAGTCCAAGATGACATGACAGCTAAAGCTTACATCAAACAATGCCTGTCGGTATAAAATTCAAGCCACTTGACGCATCAGGCTGCTCGTGAGCTCACCGTAAGGCGGCAACCAGTAGGTAAGGGTTTGACCTATGTCAAAGTTACTAACGTCACAGTTGGCATTCCAAATACTTGCCATCACGTCGTACAGGACCTATTTGTGAAGTTTCGTTTACCTCACGACCGAGCAAAGCAAAGTAGGTATACAAACGCACCTTGGTGACAATTTCACCAGCACACACCCAGTCAACGGGATGGATAGCTCGTATTCAGGTCAGCATTTCTTTGAAACCCTTAGACTTGCCAACTGTTACCCTTTTCAAATCCATCCACATGACGACCATCCAAGTCGATGATTTGTCCTCCATGTCCAGAATCTGGGCGGACCATCAATCACTTCGTAAAATGATATATACGTAACTCACAGTGGAAGAACAAGCGATCTCCAGGTTGGGCGTCTTTCACTAACCATCGTAGTGCGCTCAGAATGTTCCGTTTCGTCGGCATGTATTTCAGATTGTATGGCTCATCTGTGAGAACCATGATGTCCTCGACCGCGTAATTCCAGAAGGCTGTTACATAGTTGCTTCGCTTCGTACTAAAGAGGAGGTGAGAATGGACGAACATTTGAGAAATTCCGCCATGTTCCAAGCATCATTAACGCAACCGCGAAGCTCCCTCTCCTGGCCTTTGTAGTTTATGCCAATCTACCCACAGATGAGACATGCGAGGAGCAAATTTCAAGGGACTCACGCATAATGCTTTCCGTTGCTTCGGACGCGGAAGCAATGATTTGGTTGCCCAAGGAGTCGCTATTTGATCACTCGAGTACTGGTCACAGTTGCGGTTTGCGTTGATAGGTCGTCGCACAGCACTATATGGCAAGTGCATGCGTTGCCTCGATGACTCCATACTCTCTCCGGCCTGCTGCTGAAGAGATTGAGATGACCGTGTTTGCGAGCGGTGAAGCCGCGAGGTCATAGGTTCGTGTTGTGCTGGAGCATGTGACGGAGTCCTCTCGTTGTGCATGAAACCATAAGAAGGCACCGACGGAGGAAGGGCTGCGTGAGGGCTGGAAGACTTCAAGTGAGAACGTCGGCGCACTAGGGACCGGTGTGGTGTGATAGCCGTTGGTCTGGTAACCCAGTTGAAGAATCACTTGATTGATCCCGTGCCATAGTGGAGTGGACTTACTTTGGAGATGGCGATCGCCTTACCGGAACGACAGGGACGGGGGTAGAGCATCTATTACATGATCTGCTTCGCCTTCCGAAATGAATCAATACTGGGCAGGTGAGTTATGGAGTAACGGACACATTACCCTTTGCTTTGTAACCTGGTTTCATGAGGTACGTCAGCAAAGACATAACGATAAGGATGTAAACGTACTTAGTCGGTTTTGAAGGAGGGGCGAACATGTGTGCTTGTCGATGTGATTCGAGCATCTTGGTACTTCAACTTGCAAAGCCCTCGCGGATTGATGAAAGACGGGTGATGACCACAGCACCTTAGTAGCAACTGTTTTATGAGAACGAAAATTATCAAGCTCCCGCCCTCATAGCGCTAGGCTATCAATGTCCGAGAAGCGTACGACACACATAAGAAATGCGATTGGGTGACGATATATACCAGTCTGGGCCAGCTTCGTCGACAGGTTCTTCGCGAGAACGACGGATAGGAGCCGGGCGAGGTGCTCACTTGCATGACAGTACGGAAATTATATGGCGCTTGTGATCAAATAACCACCAATCGTGGGAAGTCTCAAGGGGGGTGTGTATAACCGCTCTTGCAAGCATTTGATAATGATGTGAAGGGGCCGAAGTGGCGTGATAAGATATGGAAAGTAGCGTCATTTTTGCCAACCTGTCCAATCATGCTGTCAATAGTACGTGAACCACCAAACGCTTCGGGACGTCCCAACAGCCTCTCCAGACTTCTCTGTTCGTTGTTATGAGCAGTGTGCTGTGCATTTCATCCTTAATCAATTCCCGAACTTACGAACACTTGACGGAGGGATTTTATGAGGAACGGTGTCAACAAGGAGATTATGTGAATGTGTAAGGAATGATTAAGACCCCCATTTTCAGGCGTTCAGATATAGAAAGGCAACGATGTGTCCTGTGCGATATCAGTGGCTATAGTCGGGATAAAGACACCAACAAACGGGAGGATTTGAGCAGGAAAACTGAGGTTGTTGTTTGGGATCTGGTAAGGCTGCGCGAACGAACGCACAAATTCGTTCGAATCCACTTTGGAAGGTTAGAGTTTGCCGGCGAGCTGAGCAGGGTCCGTGTATTAGCTAGTTGAAACAGCAATAAGAGTTCGACACGGACCGAAAACATGTACGAAAGCCTTCGAGGAAGTAAGTAGTTGCAAGAAATAGAAGTCATGATATTTTTACTCACAGAGGTCATGAGTCCACCTATGGATTGACCAGGCAGTGTGACACTTTCACTCTCTTTGGAATCCCCACAACCCGAGAAGCAAACCTAGTCGATGTTAATTGAGAAACAAAACTCGCAGAAACTCATGCTCACAACTTGCCCCTGGGATTGCTTCCTGTCGCGAGCACCTGGTGTAACACCGTCCACGAACTCGCGCTCTATGGAGTCATACTGTGACGGTCAGACGAAAAAACACACACAAAGAAGACGCTGCTTCTCTGACAAGATAAGGCAAATCTAACGATTAATGAACATATATTAGTGATGATTTTGATTTGGGGCTCACCAAGGACCGTGCCGGAATGGCATGACTAGCGTTCATTCAGGACTTGAAGTCACGGCATCATAAAGAAGATGCTCACATCGAAGAGCGCCTGTAAAGCAAAGTTGTTTAGTGCTGTTGCGTCGTTGATCACGCTTCATACCGTCAGCCGTGAGCCAGCTACAAGTGGCTTAACCTGTGAACGTTCTATCAACGACCATTCAAAACACCGCCTGGGCGTAACGATACCATGATTTCATGTATTTCCTGAAGAGCTAAATCAGTCTTATCCTTTCATCAAAAAAAGGCAAACCCCTGACATCGTCGCTAATCACACCCGATTCTTGAAAGTCGACTGGAAATATGACTTTGTGCACGTCAAAAAGAATCTTCCCAGACGGGCCAGAGTCCTACCTTCGTCATAACCATCGACCTCATCACCATCCAGGTCACGGATCTGGCTTCCATGCCCTGAAACTGTATAAGACACCTGTGTGATTCACAAGACCAACAGTGCTATCAAAGAGAGTACGTACAATGAAAGAACAAGGAGTCACCGGCCCTTGCATTAAACACCAAACGATGCATTTCGTCTAAAATATTGCGCCTAGTTGGCAAGGGGCCATAACCTTCATCAGTTAATTGTACGATATCCCACGGATGGTATCCCCATTGATCTGCAAGGAGTTGTGGAGTCGTCACCGAATCACTTGTTCATCGCCAACAAGCCCACTTACTAATAAGCCATGGAAGAATATGGCGGATGTCATTATTGCATCCTCTTAATTCATGGCGTTGACCTTTATAATTAATTCCAATCTGATACACGGTTGTCGGTTTCAGAAAGTTGATTTGCACACTGACACTCACCAACAACGCCTTCTTTGTTCCTGAAGAGAATGGACCAGGTTGTGTGTACATCGGAATGTAAGTAGAAGCTTCCGGGATGCGATACGGTGTTCCAGAAGAACGAGAATACCTTGAGATTTCAGCGAGGTGATGGTGACCTTGGAGTGTGATTTGTTCTAGGACATCTGTTTGATAGATCCTGGACCATGAAGTGTACGTCCACCGACGTTTACACTTGTGCATGTGGCGATCCCGATGAACGAGGTCAGACACAACAGAACTCAAAGAACTGGCACCAGCACCGGTGATCTCAGATGACATGGCGTGCAGAGAAGGAAGCAGGATAACAAAACTGAAGAATAGCTGAACGATGCAGGATTAGGGACGGCCTGCACAGTGCACTGCGAGCTTTATAACTTGAGGCAAGTAATATACTTCGCTCTCACGTCAAAATCGTTAAAGAGACGGCGCGTTGTACTCGTGCGAGTTGTCGACTCCAGTAATGCGGGGGAAGAGCCTAGGCCTGTCATTGCGAAGTACAAGGTGGCAAGCAGAATAAGTACGACATGGGATAAATTTGATGCGGAGGTCGGCGGTCACCATAGTTAGGGACTTTGAAAACAAAAAGAGACGTGATGCCATGCTCGTGTGTCGAACACTATGTAAACCTTCAACAATAGTGGCATAACGACGTTATCTGCGGTCTGTGAACGGTAGTCGGGAGCTACATGAAGACGTAGTACTTGCAGCACTGAAGACCGTGTAGGACATGAGGGAGCCTTTAGACTTCGAGGTTCGCGTCACACAATCACGGAGTATTGACGTTCGAGTGACCGATTGACTGTAAACTTCAAGCAAATTTCAATCTAAATTCTATGTACATACTTACTGGCAACGGCCGATTACATAATATCACAATGGAAAACAAGTACAAATATAAAATTTATTGAGATTGAGATTGCTCTATGGGTATTATTTATAGAATTCTACAACTGTAGCGTCTTATAACCTCCCGTAACCCACAACCAAATGCCCAACAATCCCATGACCCTAAAGTATACAGACATTACTACCATGGATGACAGTCCCCACCATCCCACCAGGAAACATGAGCTGCATCACCGACAACAAGCACAGCTCTTGCCATCCATACACCATCGTACACCTTTTCGATCCACCACCGGAGTACGGGGTGGCGCATGAGCCACTTGAAGTAGAAATAAAACCTATCATAACACATGAGCCACTATCCCGATAATTTACAAGCGACTTACCTCCATTCGTACCCGTTGATCACCTTTGGGTTAAGGTATATACGTTGCAGATTGAACTGTCGCCTCATATCATATGGGAGTAAGAAGCTTTCTGACGAAAAACATTCCCCTGGCACAGACGCACGGAAGCGTATTGGGGGTGTCAGAGCAGGACTTGGACCACGCATTGATGCATCGTGTGCTGCTGGGTGGGTTGCCGGCAGTTCGTACGGCAAAGGGTCGGTGGAAAGGGTGCGGTTAGAACGCAAAGCTATCGGAAGAAGAGGATCCGCAGCGAAGGCAACGATGCCATTCCAGCAGGTGAATACGGGCACAGGGGACTCGGTCTGCATTGCACGATAATCAGCTTCGTCGAAGAAATACGGCCAGCTAGATGCCGAACAGAATGGATCAGGCGAATGTCCTGATGAACACAAAAATCGCAACTCACATTGAACTGGCAAGCTTAGCCTGTCGATCTCGAAGAACCCACATATCGTATGCACTTTACCACCGTTAGAATCGTGGATATGCCTTAGCCGAGAGCTGGACGTGCTTACCCAAAATGCCCCATATCCAAGCCACATGCCATGTCGTAATCCCCACCGTTCGTCTCTAATAACTCTATCAAGCTCTCGGGCTCGATAAATATGTCATTCGAGAATATGACCCTATCATACCCTCCTAGAAGTAGAGGCTCCAGTACGCGGTTACGCGTGGCGGCCAAAAATTCGATGCGATTGTTTCCGTCCATGTCATTAGGCTTCGGTACTGCCATATCTCGCGTGAGTACGCGCCGCGCGACACCCAAAAGGGCAAGGTCTGCATGTAGTGCTTCAAGGAGGTTAGGGGAGCTATCTGTACTGTGACTCTCAACGACAGAGACGAAGACATTGTCCGGACCGAGATAGTGTATGACTTTGATAAGAGAGTCGTGCCAGTACGGAATGACTAGCTCATTGTTGTAGAACATCGCTGCAATGAAAATTTTCTCTGAAACGACATAAGGTACGTTCGAAATTCATCAGGTTGAAAGAGCTCACCTTGTTTTCCATAACCTTGTCTTCGAGGATGTGCAACGGCGACCTGAATGGAATCCCTATAGCGTACATCGCCAGGTTGCTCATAATGCACTCCGACCCAGGTGCTTACGGAAAAAAGGATGACGTATGCGAGAAGCTGTATCCTCCACAGTTTGTGATGAGGCACGAGACGTGGGGTAGGAGACGTTGGTCCTGAGAAGGAGCGCACAGTAGTGCCTTCTTCCGTATGTTCCATCAGCGCATTTTCTTCCTCTGCGGCGTTGAAAAGTTCACGTCTGTCGATAGAGCTATCTCGGGGAAACATGATGTATCCGTCTTGTGAAGGATTAAATGCCTTATTCCATCGATCGATGAGTAGGGGAAGCAGGAAACGACAAGCCAAGAGACGTAATATTTCGACAAAGGCAAAGATGGGGACTACGAGGAGGAGGAGTAGTAGGAACTTCCAACTTGAGGGGAAAGCAGGCGGCCATACGTTAGTTTCGGTGAAAAACTGTTCGTCAAACTGTTCGTGAGTTTTTCTGTACAGGGCGACGAAAATGAAGAGGGAGAAGAGACCGGGAATGTGAATAATTGTGAGAACAATGCGAGAAATGACATGGAAAACGGCCTTCGGGGTCGTAGACATTGGGGGAAAGGAGTGGTTAGGCGACAAAGTGGCCCATCATATGCATATAGCGATATTAGGTTAGAAGGTCTCGAAGAAATTTGTATGCCGAACATCCCGAAAAAGGTGCGTGACTCCGGTGCATACTCTACTACCAACGGCTTATCATACAGTTACCGCCCGCAGTAACCTAGCTGCAGCGCTGAAGGTGCATAGTCTGAGCTAAAATAGATTAGCGCTGGATCAATTTATATATTTACGCTGCCACAACTGTTGGTTGGTCTCCTTTTACCCTCGTCGATGCATTCGCGCAGTCTACAATGAACTTTATAATGCCCAACTCTTTTACGTTCCGTCCTATGTGCAACGCCGAATCAAAATTCAAAGTGGTATTTCTGACCCTAGGTGATGGATCGTATATATGTGTGTTTGTTTTTGAGCGCTCTACCATTGATAATATTATGTCTGCGGGCATGGCCAGGCAGGCCCAGTGCTCAGCGCTCAGTACTCAGTGTGTGAGCAGTGGAGGCTGTGGGTACGTACTGGAAGACGGTCACGTGTTGTGCACTTCCCACTCAACGCATCATTAATCAGCTTGACTCTAATGCGTCAGTTTCATGTTTGATCTCATGACATATATATGCAGCCCGCTTCCTGACAATATGTCAGATCTAGTCAGCATATCTGATGACATAGGACAGCTCTTAATCATCCAACATTCCTTGGCGGTGCTGTACGGTGAGACTAGTTCACAATTAGGTGTGGCGGCATCACTCCTGTGTCGGGTGTCGCGACATGCGTCACAATAATACTAATGCAACTACTTACTTAGGATTCGCGTCCTATAGAGCCTGGCGGGAGTAGCACGGTTCTTTCGGCCTCCGAACGGTAGCGCGCCTCCGTTATAGATCAAGCTTGGACGACTTTCCAAATATGGATTTCCTTCGGCTCTAGGAACCTGAGAGCAGCTGCCCCAGTCACTTCAAATAAAGCCATGTTCTCTGAGATGCACTTTTTTCAGCGCTTTCTAACTCAGACCTCCCTCTCCAGGTCTTCTTGGGCTTTCCTGCTCACCGTAAGTCACCCGAACATTCGTTTCGGGCTATATAAGCCTCTCGCTGCAATGTGCTCACCATCTTCGCAATGCCAGGCTGTCCTGCGTTCTTGTTGTTCCCGCGCTTCAAATCGTATACCCAAGTCAACACCATGATGTGGGATCTACGCGGCAACGAAGCCGCCCAAGATCGAAGCCGTTCTCCAAATCCTAGGTTTCCAATGCCGTCGTGAGTCATAAGTTTGTTCTCCCTTGTTCGAAACAGCTAAATGTGATTATGATGTAGCCCTGGGATTCCGCCAGCGAGGTACGCAATCATCTACATGATACAGCAAGTCTTTACTGATCAAGGAATGACCATATCACAGTGAACTACATCGATCCCATGATCCATTCCCCAGGCCATTTGTACCGCTCGGTCTGCCAAATGCTTCCCGATCAGCGACGCCAAAGTGAATATACTTTCTTTCAGTTTCTCTCCAATGAACATATTGACAACTTCACAATGAATTTTCCCCCAGTCCTCGGTAAGCTTCATCAGATTCCACGTCCATCTAGAATTCATTGCCGCTTCATTACTTTGCTTTCTTATAGCCGCATGCGTTCACATGAGAACCTCCATCAAGTCTTTCCCTCTCATACACGAGCGCTTCCCCCACCAATTCCCCATGCAACGCGGCCTCCCCCATCTCCCTACATGTCTCTACTCCCACCTCACCCTCTAATGTCTCAGCCTTCTCGTCCTCCACCACGTCCTCCGCCCATGCCTGTTCCACAATTTGTTTCAGACCCTGGCCTTCCATCCGGCGCTCGGCAGTCATTCAGGAATAATCATGGTCATGGTCATGGTCAGACCCACACTCAAGTTCAGTCTCACAGACAGGGGCATCATCACCATTCTCATTCGACTTCTGCCGTACCTCAAACCATTCGCCGCACCGCCTCGCAGCAGCAGCTCGGTTTCGCACCAACCGCTCAGCCTCCGTCCCACCCACCTCAGCGCACAAGCAGTTCCCACAACGTGCAGCACTCACGTTCTACACAACATCTACGTCCGCCGACGCCTCACGGTAATGGTCACCGATCGCGCGTAAACTCGGCAAGCAGCGCACATAGGCCTATCGTTCCTCCTCAGCAGCAGGTGCAGCCACATCTTCACCAACAGGTTGTGCACCATAATGGTCACGTTCATTTCCAATATTCAAAGTGCACCGGGCGGAAGAAAGCGCTCTGTGTGAGTAAAGAAATTGAGACCAATTGAAAACTTGAGTCGAGCGTCTTTTTCAGATTGGAATCAATTACAAAGGCCAACGAAAAGAGCTTCGAGGGTGCATCAACGATGTACGCAATGTGAAGCGGTTTTTGACATGTCTGTTGCTCTTTGTCCAATTCGGCGTCGTTTACTTATACTCGTACTCTAGCCAAGTGGAACTACAAAGAGGGCGATATTGTGACGTTGGTCGATGATGCCACCACTTCGAGGCAGATTCCAACAAGGCGAAACATTCTGGATGCAATGCGTTGGCTTGTGAAGGACGCCCAGCCCCATGATGCGCTATTTTTCCACTGTACGATATTTTCCCCAACTTGCGGGTGTATTTGAATGTACTCATTGTCGTTTAGACTCGGGCCACGGGGGACAGGTTCCAGATCAAGATGGGGATGAAGTTGATGGACTTGATGAAGGTAAGAAACATTCCCTTCTGCTCAGAACACCATCAGATTTCCTCGTGCAGTGATATACCCTGTCGACTACAAGAAGGCCGGAATAATTGTTGATGACGTGAGCCCTTCCCATTGTTAATCTGCCGTTAATGCTCATTATTCCGATGCAGGAAATGCACCGCATTATGGTACGCTTGCTGCGCGATGGGAGAAATACACTGATACGATGTTTCACAGGTGAAATCGTTGCCAACTGGCTGTCGTCTGACCGTAAGTCTGAACGTTATGGTACTTCCCTGTTCGGCTTAATGGAACTCCGTCTATTTAGGCTATCTTTGATGTAAGCTTTCCTTGGCACAGCGGGCATCAGACAAACCTAATCAGTTCCCTTAGTCTTGTCACTCAGGAACTGCACTGGGTAAGCACATCGTTCCGTAATGATAAAAGCTGACTGACCGCCCACTGCCAGATTTGCCATACGTTGTGAGCACGATACCGGACTTCTTCAGCCAGCAGGAGGACTAATTGTCTTGCAGTACCATCCTAATGGACGCCTCAAGGGAAGTCCCGTAACTCCTCAGGCTCAAGCACAGAAGGCCACAAGTGCCGACGTTGTAAGTGACCGCCTGACGTTATGAATCGTGCCGTACTTCTGCCACTGTCTAGATATCATTCGCTAGCTGTCGCGATGATCAAACAAGTGCTGATACGACACAGAGTGGTATAGCCGTTGGGGCTATGAGCTACGTGAGTAATTTTCTCTTTCAATATTGTCTGAGCTGACATGCATCGCCAATGACAGGCCTTTGTTACGTCTCTAGGTTGGTTTGGAGTTCTGCTTCTCGCTGCGTGAGACTGACTTGGCGAACAGCAAGGAAGCCAGTACAAAGCTATCAAGAACTGCTTAAGTCTGTTAGGGACATTCTGAAACAGGACTATAAACAGAAACCACAACTGTCGAGCTCGCATCCGATCGTAAGCACTTGCGGTTTGTAGTGTAATGGATTTAAGTTAACACCGCTTTTCAACAGGATACTAATCTACGCTTCATCATCTAGCGTTGGACGTTGTGCTGCGATATTCGTTTACAATTTATATGATATTGACTAATTTATTGGTGTAATACTACATATGTATCAGCCTTGGTCTCTCGTTAACAAGTGTATGTCTAACTTCTAGCAGTGAAAATGCACAAAATGGAGTCGGGTCTACTTTGGACTTTCCTCTATGTTCCACCTTGAATATCAATATCGTTTTTGCTTGGCTCTCTCGCGTCTACAGTATTTCCAGCAATCAAACAAGCTGTCACTGGCAGATCTCAGATCCTACTGCTCTCCAATTATAGCTAGTTGGTCGCTAACAACTATTTGGAAGGAAATTGTATCTGCACATGGATATAAGTATAGTCAAGGTACAACTGACTACTGCTTAAAAATGAAAAAAAGATACATACAGCTACAATATTTCTAGGACCTTGATTCCGTCCATCATGTTTTGCCACGTCTTTGAGTTGTACAATGATGTCACGATCCAGCACGATCTTCTATCTTTCTTTTGTCGATGTTTGCAGGAGTGCATACGTCCCCCAGTGATCCCCACATCCACTAGGCTAGCGCTGGGACGGGACGTTTTGAGGCATGTAAACCGCCACTCACCATCATATATAGAAAGTAGAAACTAAGAGACGAGTCTCCGAGTCAGCGTTGTAGACAGAACCACTATGACATTAATAGTACCTAAGAGACGAGTCTGAAGACGAAACAATGTAAGTGAGAGACAGCGTGCAAAGAACATGAACTGTACCTCACCGTTGTAGACAGAACCGCTGAGGTACAAATAATGCGACGCAACGAGATTATATAGTACAGTACAGTATAGAGTCCGTGATAACAAACGAGGAAAAGGAATACAGAGTCGATGTTGAACATCCAACAATACAAATACAAATTCTCTACATGGAGCTTATCGAGGAGAACTGTGCTGTAGGACCATATATCCGTCACATAGTAGTGAAGAATGTATGGTTGGAGCTAGTTGCAGTTATCAATCTATTCGAAACAGTGAGGATGCAAAAATGAGATACGAGAATTCAGTCGCACCGAATCCCGCAAGAGGCCAAGAACCAAGGCTAGACCTTCGAGATCCCGTCCCAGAGTGTATTCAGGAGAAGATAGGACTAGCCCAGTACCATCTGTGTGTCTTTCGTACACAAAGAATATCCACTGTTCTCCGCTGGTGACAACACCCCTGATGACAGATAAGCTATCATAAAGTTAGACTACGTCACGGAACATAGAACGACAAAGAGCTGACCCCTGAAATTGGCAATACGAAGCCGCAGCAATTGCAGCCTGAGACAGAGCGGCCCGAACGTTATCGCGCTGGGCTTCGAAGATGTTGGACGTCATTGGTCCCTTGATGTTTCCGGGATTCGCCAGTGCTGTGGTCGGATCGCCCAGGAGGTATTCTAAAGAATAGTTCAAAGTCATTCTAGCACGCGACAGAAAATAACTAACCGGTGTACCGAGCGGGGAGTTTAGTCACCAGGAAGTCGACGACGCCACTAAACGAACATTTGCCAGAGTCTCGGTTGAAGATCGTTCTAGGGATAGGGAATTCTGGAATTATGTTCACCGTCGTGTCACCCGCACACATGACCGATACAACTCTCAACAAGAGTATGTTGGTCAAGATGCGACATCCAGCTTTCGTCTTTGGAGTTTAAATGAATATACAGTCGATCATGGAAATCAACCACCGTAACATACCACCGTTGCGACGTGGCCGCGCACTAAACTTATCAGAAATCGTGCAGTATCAATCGGAAGACACCCTGATATTTCGGCCAATCCAAGGTTTTCGACTTCTTGCCTCTTGTCGCTGATCAGAAAAAGTGGACCAGACGATATCCTCAATGAAACGAGCGTTATTGGATCCACCTTAGAGAAGTAAGTGTGCTAAGGAGAGGCTGATCAGCTCTGTGAACAATTCAGCGTCATTCAACCTTCATCAACCTTAACGTCTTCCAATTTGTCACGCAGTTCTTGGAGTTTATCGATCAGACCAGCAGACAAATCCTTGTCTCCTTCATCAAGGTTGGAACGAAATTCCTGGAGCTTATGAAGCAATTCGTTTGTATCTCCTGCAGTTAGGTCTGAAAGCTTTCGTCGTTTGGAAATGGGAGGCATGATGTGCGATACACCGACAGATGCAAGAGACACAGATTGTTAGGGTTAATTGTGGCTCAAGTGCTCATGCGTGAGTTGAGGATCAAGTTACTTCACTCCAAACAGCAAATGAACTTTTTTCTTTCCTGTTACCAGTCATGTTAATTGGTCAAGCAAGGTTTCTGCCGACGCAGGCGGCACTTCCCGAGTACATCTAACTACCAATATTGTTCTAACTTTTCTAACATGTCTCAGATCTCATTCACGAAATGCGAAATACGAGTGACACCAGCGACTTAAGCGACTTGAGCGAGACTACCAGCGAACCTGAATCCATCATCAGCTTCAATGAGAACGTGTACTTCAACATGCAAAACGCTGCCGTATCCACTGTGACTTACGTGGGACAAGCTCGACAAACAATAGAGCAGCAAGCGACGAATGGATCGCAACTCCACCAAGCGTACACGACGTTGACGCATCCAGGGTTCTAGACGCGATGCTGAGGAACGCTCACGGGACCGGTGGCGAAACACCGAGCGTCATACTGCCTGTGCTATTTGCGCATGTCCTGAGATCCACGAGCAAGTCAATCTCGCGAGGACTTGGTTCATGTATCTGCTCTGGCCATGTAAGTTAGAACTTCGAGATGTCTGCCACGGACACTAACGCAAATTTTCACTGGTAGTCACAGCCGGAACCCACCAATCATCAGACTTGATTTCTAGTCAGGCCACGCCGACCATTGACGACACCTATGGCGGCCTTGTAAGTGCCAGTCCGGAACGGAGTAGCAGATTTAGGACCGATGTACGTCCTACCAGTTAGAAAGCAGCTTTGGCGTTAACTTCCAACAGGTTAATCGACGGGACGGTTATAGATGCGTTGTTTCAGGTGTCTGGGATGGACCACACGTTCCCGCCGGTGTCGATCAGGGTTTTGTAACCTTGATAGGAGCGCACATCCTGAAACGGGCTGTCGGGGTTTTCACCATGGACCGGGCTGCGGGCAAGGATTTCTCTGCTAGGTTATCATCAATTCTGACCTCAAGTTGGATTATGCAGGCACATACCGCGGCTGCAACGTGGAATATCATTCGGCATTAATCAGGAATGTCCGAAGAAACTATTCAAAACATGGAAAGGCTTGTAGACGACCCTTCCAATGGCATGATGCTTAGGCGCGACATCCACGATACTGTGTCGGTAGCTCTGGGATGCGTCTTCATCATACCGCCACAAATTGCAGAGACTACAGACACCCTTGAGCCTACAGAAGCGAAATGGAAATCTCTTGATTTAGTCGGTGTAAGCATTTTAACCGGTATGAATGTTCCAGCATACTCTACTTCGCATCGCTCACGAGCTGTGGTAGTTGCCTTGACCTTATTCATCTTCGCTGTGACATCCGGCTCCACAGATGGTTGGGCATCCGCAATAGTGTTGGTCCCACTCATTATCTCGCTTTCAATGGGGGTTGGGTTTTTTTACTGGGAAACACTTATGCCAGTGGAAAAAGCTGCAATGTACGTTATCGGGGATGCACCAATCACCAATCATGGCTCACCTTAGACCAGACCACTCCGGACATGGTTTTACCACAATTTCTCCGTTCTTTTCGCCGTCGCACTCTTGCCATTCTTTTGGTGGAGCACGGTGTTCACGATTTTTACTACCCTATGGCAAAATGTGTTTCACTGGTCGGTGATATCATCGGCTGTACACATGTAGGGTCCTCGCTGTCACTCCATGTTGCCCATCATTGATACGTAATTTTTTGCTCACCAGGTTCCCGATCGGTATCATAGCCCTCACTATGAGTTTCACCGGACCACTTTCTCGCATTTTCAGTCCGAAATGGATCATTCTCACTGGTCTGTCCTTGTGCATGGTTGCGACGGTATTGCTGGCACTCGGTGGAGGGAACCCCCAGGATTATTGGCCATATATCTTCCCAGCTTTTACTCTAGGAAGCGGAGGGGCTATGCTGGCCTATACACATACGAAGTAAGTTCTAAATCATGCCTTTATGAACGCATTTTAAGTGCTTCACAGCATTGCTATTTTTCAAGCTGCACCTTCATCCATGGCCGGCACAGTTGGTGCCATCTTTAATGGCGCGCTTCAATTTGGATCAGCTATTGGCCTCGCTGCTGTCAGCTCAATAGAGACATCCGTGGAAGCCACCTGTGGAGGTTCACTTGAGTACAGCGGTCGATCCGCGGCCTTTTGGTTCCTCGTTGGACTTGTCGCTCTTGAAATCATTTCAGTATCAATCTTCTACGACCGCAGTACGGATCACATGGCCCAACCAAAACGCAGCGACCCCGTACATGCTGCTCAACACAGCACACACTTTGACGAAAAGCTGAACGATGTAGAGGTGAAAAATATGGTATAGCGAGCGACAAAGCTGACCTGGCGGATTTACTTGTGTAGTTTCTATTTCTTTTGACGACTGTTCCTTTTGACGACCGTTTTTGTTGACGACTTGCAAGGTAGATGCGTTTTTCATTCGACTTTTGGGGTACGATTAGAGCATAGCAGACTTCATACAGTTTTTTCCCATACACTACACATCTGGCCATGGGTAGACCGGCAGACTGGTTCACGCACATTGCATACAATCAATCCGTTCGCGTTTGATTTGTATGGTGTAAAACATATCGGAGTAGACTACGTTGACCGTCTTTTTGCCTCGTTTGCAGAGGAAAAACTAGGGCGGGAGTTGCGAAGCGTGATGGAGAGCGGGTCCGAGTATGTAGTGTCAGTTGGTCGTGAGAGGAGGTAATTATCTCTGTCGTACGTGATATGAATAAACGATCTTCAAAAACGTCGTATGCGGTCGCGATCGTATTAAAACCGGTCGTCGAGATTCGAAGTGATGAAACAGGCACAAGTAGAAAAGGAGAAAGCGTTATGAACAGCCGTGAATCGCGGTCAGTGTCCGAGTCGTTATTAAATCTAAGTTGATTTGATTTGCTTGCTTGGCCATCAGTGGACCAGTGGACAAATTAGAACGACATATATAACATTGTATAGCACGTACATAATGGCCAGCATCACAGTCGCACGGACAGCTCTTCATGCGCGGGGATATGGCGAAGGCGAATATGACGTAGGGAAATATACAAGAGCCTGAGACAAGCTTTTCAAAAGCGGGTAGAGTAACCTCTTCCATAGATGCCAGAAAGCTGGGGTGGTTGGTGGGCTACGAAGATAGAGGATGGTATTCATGAAGACGTCAGTAGAACAGACGCAGAAGACAGAATGGGAGAAGGAGAAGGACGGAATGAAGGGGGATTGGGATGCATTGTGAGTCGAGTCTGGCCGCCCGCCCGCTAGATGCTGTTATTATGTGTAGTGATTCAACTGGGGACAGCTTGCAGCAAGGCGCATGGAAAGACGCGATCACGGAGTGACTCAGGCGTGTTTGCATCAACGACAGACCATGTCAAGGTGTGACCGATAAATCATATCATATCAGACAATGCGATAATGTTACAACAACCAAAGACGATTGTACAAGCGTCGCCCGTTTCGTGCATGCAATGCAGGAGTCCAATGTCGTGCCTTGAAAAAAAATGCGATTCAGACGACGAGCACTCCGTGTTCGGATTCGAGCGTGAGTACGAAGCGATGTTACTTCTGATGGGCCATCGTCGGTGCACGTTTGTAATGGCGCCCAGTATAATTAGGTGTCTGAAAACGAGGTGAGAAACTATGTCCTGTTCTTCTGGGGAGTGAGCGCGTAATAGTGCTCACATCTCTGGCTCCCAGAAGCCATCATCTGCGATAAAACAAGGCACGGCAATTTGAGGCAAAGGCTGTACCCTTAGAGTTTGAATGTCACCCGTCGCGTTGAATTGAACAACCCGCCATGGAGCATTGACGCCGACGGCATATTTCGTCCATATTCAAATATTCAGTTATCAGGTCACTTTGGGACACGACGCCACCATCAGACGAGTATGAATTAGCTTTGAGTTAGCTCAAATGTATCCTTGTGAGGTTGGCTTTGCCTTCAATGATGAATGAGATGATGTGGAGGACACAGGGAGGTAGAGTGGTCTGAGGAATATGGCAAAAGCGATATTTGACATACATGTCGCCATGCGTTTTCAGATGCAGGTCCGACGGGGGAACTACAGGGAACACTAGAAGACGCGAGGGTCAAAGAGGAAGAAATTGCTGAGCGGCTTGAAAGAGCTCAAAATAAGCGTACAGGAATCCGGGAACCTTCATAGACTGCGCCCCATTCAACGAGTCGAGACCAGCGCCTTGTAATGAAGAAGGTTCCATTTGGAAGGCCTAGCGCTCTAGACCCTCCGCATGAGTGGTGTTCCGATGACGCCCACCTTACTAGACATTGATCTGCTAGCCATGACCCGTAGTAACGAAATAATCATCCGTCCAGGCATACCACCAACTTGCTGCATGGGCAGAATTCTTCTGCGAGATTTTTTCCTCATGTTCCGCTGAGCGCAGAATCAATCAGTCTCTGTTCTTGCTGAATTCATTGAGCAATGCATGCAAAAATGAACGGTGTAATTTGGGAGATTGATGTCTGATGTCTGAATCATAGTGAGAAACAATTGACTCACTCGTTGGAGCAATCACGGTAGGCGATCATGTGTGCGACATCGAAACTTGATGCATGATGGTAGTAATGACATCAGTAAACCGGTGAGACTCAGATATTAGTAGATTTTGTAGTATTTTCCAAGCCCAATGCTTCTTTCCTGTAAATTACGATACAAAGTAATATATAGCAATCTAAAGCAATGTAATCACGCCAATTCACGCTCAGTTCAGACTCAGATATTGCTCTACATCACTTTATATTGCTTTATATTGTTTTATAACGTCATGTATAGGAAAGAGCATTTCGGCATACAAAATATGGGAATATCGGTGGCTCACCGGTTTGCTGATGATGCTGATGATCTACAGATTTGATTCTGTTGAGCGTTGAACAAAAAGAATATTACGATTGGAGAAATCAAAATGGGCTAGCTAGGGTGGGCGACGTCGAGATGCACCATGCATCACAGCGAGCCATATCGCATGATCCATCGAGACGTATGATGTAAATTTCATGACCGGTTCCGCATGTTGAACAAAAAGAAGCTCGATGATCATACTGGACGTCAAAAAAAGTTGATGATAGTGGCTGTGATGATGATGGTTTGGTTCGAACCGTGACTGTGGCTCAGCATTAACGTATTTTACTTTCATTCCTATCGCACCAGAGAGAACTCTGTATTATCTCCTATGTGTTATGAAGAACTTATGTCGAGAAATTTATGGTGGCGCTCAGCCAAAATGCCACGCGAGGGCACGTGACATCAATCAATTACCTTTTCGAGACAGGATTCACTGACCGCGCTGGCACATGACCAGATTCGTGTGATGGCATGAGTTCTAAATCATTGAAACACGGAGCGCATTGAATTAGAACAATGATGACGACAGCGAGTGATACAGTAGCGGGACATTATTGACGACAGCGAGTGGTGAGTAAATATGCTACTAGGTAGGTGCAAAGGAGTCAGCTGAATTATTTATTGCAAGAGATGCGGTCCCCTCGAGCAGTGCATGCCTTATTCACAGCCTTCAGGAGCTGGGTGTGCCCAAGCTTGGCCTCTGGATAGGCTGCGAGGAAGCGCGCCTTGTTTGACTCATACCTGGAGCCGGAACAGAAGGTGAGTAGTACTGGAACGGCAGATAACAGCAGGGACTTACTGATTGATAAATTCTAGCATGATGGTCACCCTTTGATGGTACTTCGACATGAACCGTCTATTAGCGCCTTGGTACCATTCCCTCAGCCAATCTTTCAACGGTGTTGTGAGTCCTTGGTCCCGATCCCCAACTAACCAGTGCTCGACAATCTCCTTCCAGGATTTGTTCTTCGGGCTGGAAGTGCCATTGGGACGAGCGACTGGGACCCAAGGGATCACGAGGCCAGGTGTAGGGAGTTTCTGCCACGAAATGGATGTTGTGGCAGGGACTTGGGGCCGTCGTGATGTGCTGGAGGTGGACAGGGCTGCAGCAGGCATTGGGCTGACAACAAGGCTGCGCGAGAGTGGCTGTTTGGCTGTGTCAACAGGTGGAGGTAGAGGAGTTGTTGTGCGGGAGACACACTCAGGGACGTTGGTGAAGCGGTAGCTGGAATCAAGGTGTTGGAGGGCAATAGCTGTGCTGCAGGCAGCCTGCATGACAACACTTGTTAGGGAGTGCATATCATTGCGCAGGCCGTTGACATCTGCTGCAACAGATGCATGCACCATGTGAAGCTCCTCTGTGGAAGCTGGTCTGGTAAGTGCATGTTCACCAGCAAGGGAGGCATCAGTGCTACAGGAGATGGGGGCAAGGACATTGCTGTAGTCAGTCTCATATGTATGTAGTTCGTCGAGAAGGTATCGAACGAGCATATCGCACTGAAAAATAGACACATCAAGAGAGAAAAAAACTGTCAGTCAAGTGACAATTATGAGGACAGGAAACATACATGCTCGCCATCAGCCCATCCACCCCACCAATGAACCTTTGCAAGCGTCCATCGTTGACCTACGGGAGCAAACATAAACCAATATTGTGCACCTCCCTGACGAAAACAGTGAGTCGAGAAGTTACCACGGATGCCAACGCCAGTGGTAGACTCATTGATCCATTTTTGTACAGTATCGTGAGATATTGGCTGTCCAGGGTGCACAACACCATTTGCGCTCATAGCAGGGAAGAGGAAGTCATTTGGCTGGAGGGTGCGCCCATAATGAAATGTTTTGAGCCACTTGATCCAAATCATCGTCCAGAAGAAACTATTGCAGGCCGGTGCATCAGGGCGTGGATAAATCTTGTAGTGGTTTGCTGGTAAGGTCATTCAGTCATGCGCTATCAGCTGCAATTTAATACAAGCAACTCACATCTCAAATCTGCTTCCCATTGGCCTTTGTCTACCTTCTTTTGCCATCCTTTCCGGTTCGCAAGAAATATCTCGAAATTTGAGGTGCGTTCACTCAATGTTAGCGTCTCATTTGCAAGGTATGTCTTGAGCACACCGTCCAAAACGGTAGTATCAAGTGAGATGTCCTTTCTTTGCAATTTGACGAGCTCAAAACACCTACAGATATATAAAATCAGATCGCACAAGTGCTGCAAATGACCAGGATTGCACCTCGTCCATAATGTCCATCCGTTCAACGCGAACGCGATTTGCTTGAGATGGCGGGTGAGTTTCGTCCTCATTTCTAAGTCCAGACAGATGTCTGAAGGCCGAGCGCCGTTCATTACCTTCTGGATCATCTGCAGTGCAATGTCTAGTGAACATGCAGCCTGGTGCCATTGAAATGCCCAATCCATGTAGTCCTTCATCATCGCCATCGAGTGAGTCCGATCTCCACCCTCTGCGCTTGCCTTATGCTTGATGGACGACAGCACATCATAGACGTCTGCAGAATCAGTGGGGTTTCCTTCCCAGCGCTGTTTCGCCTTGTCGAAGTGCCATTTGCCACGATAGGTGTCACCATTGCTGAAATATAGGTCAGTGCTCGTGTGCTCTAATCCACAATGATACTGACGATAGCTCCCACATCTTCTTAAATGCCGAACGGATACTCTCGATGGTAGTTTTACTCAGATTCTTGTGGAATCCTTTCAGGGACATGTAGAGTGCCAGCGCTTTGTTGGAGCATCTGTTCGGTATGTCCTCAAATGCATCTTTGAATGCAGGGTCCTCATACATGTCATTATTGGCATGTATTTCAGCAGTTGTGAGCAGCGGAAGGAGTGAGCCTTCGAAGATGTCATCCCTCTGAGTCTTGCTGACAACAGAACTTTCAAAGTGGCTTGCTAGCCATTCCCATCCACAATGAACATGCCCGGCATAGTTCGTCCTTGTGTTGCTTGCCTGAAGGTGGGTTTTGATACCATGTTCCTTACACCTCTGTACATCCGCCAAAGCCGTCTTCTCGGGAGCTGATCTCTTCTTTCATGCAGCTTTCTTGTGAATGGTGTCTAGCGGCTGTTTGGCTTCAGCGGAACCCTTCTTTAGCCGGGTCATGTTCTGGGAGCACAAACCAAGCAAGTGTTGTAGTGTACGAAACTAGTTCAAATTTTCGGGACGGAGATCATGTTAGGGGCCTCTACATTATATTCAATGTCATTTCAAATTTAACACCATTCAGCCTGTCTGAGAGCGAGCACAAATGACATGAATAATTGGTGGCTAACGGCAATTTATAGACTAATATACTGATCTGCTGCTTCTGGTACCATGTGCTGGAGTATCACCTTTGGAACAAGAACATACATGGCAGACAACTGGCCAGGAGTAGCGCCTCCCAGAGTATTGTGCCCCAAGCACCGACAATCAACCCTAATGCTGAAAACTTCGATGTCATGCCTCAATGCCATAAGCGTTATCTGAGAAATGACTTTGAACTTCGGTTGAAGGTTTGCCTGGTCTGCTGAGCGCTGCGGCAACTAAAATACGAGTTAGCAGCTGCCTACAAGCACAGCATTGCTTACCTTGCACAAGGCACGCAGATAGGCGCCCTCCCATATACCCCCATACATCTTCTCAATGATTGCGTCATCCTCCCAGCCCAAATGCTGATGGCAAAAGTCTGTGAGATTTGCGAGATTGGGTTGGTAGAATGAGACGTCCGAGGGCAGTGCCACTGTGCCATTCCCAGCAGCCGAAAAAGATGTGAGAGCACAAACGTACTTGCTGACAACTGCATGCTGAGGGAAACCATGAGGAATGCGGTCTGCAACTGCCTTGTGCCTGTGCTCAAGGAAGTTGTAAGGATCAGTAGAAAGTAGGACATGTAGATCCTCAACGAGCTCCTTGGCCCACTCAGAGAATTCATCCAGTGTCATCGACAGGAATGTGTCAAGCATCATTGAGCCAATTTTACTGTGCAGCACCACCTTGTGCGCGATTTCAATCCCGCAGCCAGGCACCCCCCCCGTCATAATCACCACCTATGAGCAGGGTGATTAGCAGCCTGTCTCCTCGGGTCAATGAGCAGCCGTGTTCAAGGCCATCCTCCGTGAACACCTGGACATTGAGATAGTCTTTGTCATTTTTCGCACTAACAAGAATCAACCACAGCACATCAACAGGAAAATGGCAGCATACCTTCTAATGATGCACGGAGCTCCGAAGATTAAGATATCGCTATCCTCGGTGATCACAGCATCGATGATGCCATGAACATTCATGGCAGCCAGCTCCACTTCAGCTTCTCTCGGGGCCTGGTATGAAACTGGTGAGACGGCAACACTGTTAGGGGGAGAGAACATACTTCAGTCCATGGAAAGCCGAATAACTCCAGCATGCGCTGGAAGTCGCGAGTGAGCCAGTGAGGGCTGCTTCTAACCTTGCGACCTTTGTCTGGCAAGCGCTTGAGGCCATCGAAGACGAAGACCGCATGCAGCGGCAGCTTCAGTAGTGTCTGCAGTCGAAAGAATAGTGTCCGCAGCTCCGGCGACTTTCCAGCTCCTGCATGGTTGATTTGAAAAACAGCGCAGACGCTGTGCATCCACAGGCTAACAGCATGAGTGAGTTCGACGAACATGCAAAAAAAGAGAGGCGTCATACCTAGCATCAATCCCAACTTTGAATAAATGGAGCTTGCGGTCGCCTTCAACATCTTCGGTCTTCAGTTCTGACACTGCAAGTTCCTTGAGGGTTCAATTTTCAGCAGATAGAGCGACTCGCTGTGATGAACATCAGTACCCTCAGCCTAAAGCAAGAAAATGTTAGCGCACCTCCCATAGTCCGCGGATTCCCATTATGAGGTGTGATAGTAGTAGACAACAATGAAAGTTGATTGAGAGGGGGGCGAGTGGAAAGGGGTAGATTCGGACATCACCTGACCACCAGCAGTTTGAAATTAAACACGAGCTTAATGATATGAAGAATATGACACTCACAAGAAGTCGATAGACGATGGAGCACATGCAGGTTGAAGGAGAGATCTAGCTCATGCTTGCACTTGAATTCTTGCACTAAGTGGTTGATGAGACGGCTGTTGAAGTCCTCACCACCCAAGTGAGTGTCACCAGCAGTGGTGTTCACCTCGAAGATGCCCTCCTCAATGGTCAAGAGGGACACATCAAAGGTTCCTCCTCCAAGATCGAAAATGAGGATGTTATGCTCATCAATGACTTTCTTGTCGAGACCATAGGCAATGGCAGCAGCAGTGGGCTCATTGATGATACAGAGAACATTCATTCCAGAGATAGTACCAGTGTCTTTCATAGCCTGTCTCTGAGAGTCGTTGTTGAAAACGGTGAAGGGGAAGTGCTTGATGTCCGACTGGACCTCAGCGCTGGCAAATTTATGGCCGATGAGACGCTTGACACTATTAAAGTTAGCACAAGAAATGAAATAAAAAAGAGGTAAAAATTTACCTGTTGTGGGGCTTCATAGCAGCCTGGTTCTTGGCAGCATGAGGCGAGTAGGGCAGAGCCACTGCTGGGTGCGTGTGATGAGTGGTGCAAGTGCAAGTGCAAGTGCAAGTGTGAGTGCGAGTGCAGCATTGTTGGTGCCACATGAAGTTCTGAGGCCCTGTAAATTATGAGTGAGAATCACAAAAAAATGTTTGAGGAAAATACCTCTCCTCCATGGGAGGTGTTGTTGTTGTCCACCTGCGGCGCTGTGCATGAAGAGTTGGAGCGAAGGAAAGTAGAATCATGTGATTGACATACCTAAGCCACCCATTTATGGTAACTGTGCAGGATGAGTCGGAGGGAGAGAAGAGCAAGAGAAGAGGGTAAGGTAGAGTGTAAATGTACGACGTGTAAAGTCAATGTAAAGTGCTGTAAAGTGTGGTTTTGGCTGGGTAAAGTGAGTAAAGTGTGGAAGAAGGAGAAATACACAGTAAATTTTGTAAATTTTGTAAATTTCAAACTTCCGAGCAGGCTCCCTCCCTGGGTTCGGATGCACCCGCAACCATTGTTATTTTTTGGTGCTTCCACCTCGGACAAAGCATGACACACAGATTAGGTACCTGGTAGATAATGATTTTATATCAATTGCAGCACATTTATGGCTGTCAAGACCTGAGGAGTCTGCTTGATCTGCCAATAATTTTTATTGACATTCTAACAATTCTCTATGCTAGTAATACAACCTATCGGCGCATCCAACTCATGTGCCAAACCCTAAGTTAGGTGCATGTGGCAGCACAATGCAGAATTCCAACCGTGTGTCACATGACTTTGGATTCCCATTATTGTTTTTCCAACCAATCTTTGACGAATCCCCTTTACAGAATTTACGTTAGCTAATTGTGAATTTCTCCAGATATCCTGACATATTCAAAGCACTTAAGCCAAATTTCAAAGTTTTTTCTCACTGGACCATACATGATCCCAGTATTCTATTGCAATGGCCTGAAGAGCCACTTGATCTTCCTGTGGATTGAAATGTCAGATTCTATCCTGCGACACTGGGAAATAAACTTAATTCAACATATACCATTGTTTGGAAACTTGGATGGGGCCAACACTCTAGCGTTTGGCTGGCAAAGCATGGAGGGTGAGTAAATGCGATACTTCCTCCTCGCTAGTTGTGATGAGGTGTTATGTGCCTGACATCAAAGAGAACACGAGTGTCAGTATGTCACAGTCAAGATACTGACAGCCCACGTGACACAAGCGCAACTTCAGCTTTCTGATGAGCTTGGCTTCCTACAATCTGTAAGAGATTTGGCAGGGGAGTCAAGACATCCCAGGCAAGCCCATATCGTCGCATTGCTAGACAGTTTTGAAGTATCGAGTACCCAAGGTCGTCATCTCTGCTTGGTGCATGAAGCTATGGGCATATTCCCGAAGGTCGACAGAGGTCTCCCAGTTCTGTTGGTCAAGGCTGTGGCAAAACAGCTGCTTCTCACCTTAGATTTTCTACACCATGAATGTCATGTGGTTCATACCGGTGCGCTGCTATCAAAAATGTTTGAGTCATGCTGGAACTGAGGTGTCATCGGAAAAGATCTTAAGCCTGACAACATCCTCATTGAACTTGATAATGTGGACACTGCTATTAAAATCTGGGAAGAATCACGCTCTATAACTCCCATGCAAGTGGTCTCATCCAAACCTCCCAGTCATGCTATCCTGTCTCGTCCGATACATGTATTTAGCTCGGACAAGCTGCTCAACTTGATTCAGTTCTCAAAACTTAATGTCAAGTTGACCGACTTTGGTACTGGCGAGTCCCCAAATATTATAGTGATCCTGGTCGTAACTTATCGCTGCGTTTTAGCCATCTCTATAAATGGATTCCATCCTGATATCATTCAACCTTTTGCTCTATGCGCGCCGGAGGTCATCCTAGGATGTGAGTGGGGTCCAAGCGCAGATATCTGGAATTTGGCATGCTTGGCAAGATCATTTTATAGGTTTGTTTCTTCGTTTAACACCAAACCGTGTCTCTGTAGATCTTTGAATTTCTCACTGGGCATTGGCTTTTTGTACTGCGAGGAGGGCCTACATGGACCGCAGAAGCATACCATCTTGCGCACATGCCTGTAATGGCTGGAGAAGCGTTTGACACCACTTATTTTCGGACCAGAAAGACCTTTGGGGAGTATTTCAATAACGATGGTGAGTCGAAACAGCGACGGATGGCATTGACTGATGTTCATGTTCATTGTAGGCAAGCTTCGCATACAAGTTGAAGAGATCCAAGGTTTGGAAAAGGCTCTTGAATCCTACAAAGTGGTCAGCGATGACAAACTATCTATGTGCACTTCGTTTTTGTGGTCGATGCTGAGATTACAGCCATCAGATAGAGCAAGTGCAGCAGATCTCTTGGAACATGAGTGGTTGAAAGTCTAATATGGATGAGAGACCCAGTCGCTTTTTTATCATAATGAAGGACCCACACTGTCAAATTATACATAGGTAATTACAACTCATCTATGGACATTTCAATCTGAGTTGACACGAAGCAGTGTAGAAAGAGTTGAAGTATGTTGTACGGTAATATTGTACTAACAATCATTATGATGAGACTGCCCATTCGCAGGTCGTTGAGCTCAACCCTTCATCTTATCTTGGGTATGAGCTGAAGCATGCAGCGCTTCATGGAGCCCAGCACTATGATGATGCATTTCAAACCTCCGAAATCATGCTCTCCAAGCTGGATAATGATCATGTCGCATGAATGCAAAGTAAGCCCCAAATAACTCACGCGCCAACTTGAAGATGATTAACTCTTTCTCCAGAGCTGCATCAGCACTATCCTAGTCAATCTGCAATACTAGAAGATACTGTTCGACCAGCCATCCATGCTCATCTGGAAAACGCCCCACTTCGTCTAATCAACACATCCACTGGCTGTGTATGCAATCGAGACACACAGAAAAACTCCTTCATGGAAAGTACAGAGTACAGGGAGCTTTTCCATTCATTGAAAATGCATATGCCCCCCAGGACGGAGCTATAACCAGGTTGGGCGCGCGGATGCGATCTCCGCATGAAGGTTCAGTAGATAGGTTGCTCAATGAGAAACAATGAGATTCGTGCCTAACAGGGCGCAGAAGCAGTACCTGTTCATATACAGAGATAGCCTCGTCAAGGTCATGAAATGTACCTTGGTGACTGAAGCGGTAGGTGAGTGAGACGGCCAACTCATTCAAGCAGTTACTACGCTGAGGGTGTCCCTCGGAGAGCAGGGAAATGGCTTCATGAGCAAGTCCCATGCTCTCATTTAGATCATCAATGGTGCAACATTGTGTAAAGTGCGTGTGGAGTGATTGTAAAAGCGGGTAGAGTGCTCCTGGACGGTGTTGATGGCCCAGAGGACAGAGCTCGAGTATGACTGGTTGGAGATGGATGCCTTCATCAGATGCATCCATTGGAAGATTGTGGATCACATAATCAATTGCAGTGTCTACGCTGATACTACGAAAGTAGGTACCCTCTGGACAGAGGGGTAGTAGCTTGCAGCACAGCTGCGTGGATTCGTGAATGTAGACGGCGGATTGCTGTTTGCAGTAACACCAGTTCAGTGCCCTAATCGTAATGAAGGACCAAGGGTCCTGCCATGGTGCATGTTGTTTTAAAAATATTTTGAGCTCTGTGCTTAAACCATCGGCTCCGAGTCATGCTTCATTGATCCCCTTTGCCCATGCAGCTCTCATGATGTCCTTTTCCCATTGCAATTCACTCGTTGATGATTTTGTGGCTTGTTCTGCTGATTTCACAGCTTCATTTGCACCAGTCCCTGTAGCTATGATGCATCAAGCCTGCTAACTACAAGTCACAGGTGATGCATCATCTATGCTTCTTAGCCTGATTTTTGATGCATTATAACATGCTAAGTAGCAGACCTATAGTGTATAGCTTGGTCATGTGATGACCGCAATTTTGGCTTCCAAAAGCGGAAATTCACTCATTTTGGTCACCCCCTCATGTCAGGCCTATTCCCACACACCATATCTTTGTCCTTGACTTGGTGTGTGGATTCAGAGGGGGTGTAAGGCGTGGGATTACGATGTGACTAAATAGATGCGATGATAATGGTAATGATTGAAAGACTACGCTAGGTAAGTGAATGTTGTTTGGGCAAAGCCCTTGGGCTTTCGTCCAAAATACGCCTTTGCGGGGGCAAGCGAGAGCTGAGATTCCCTAGAATGTTAGGAGCAAGAACGATGCATCTAGCTTGAGCTTGAGTCCCGAATAACAAAGGAGGTGCGCAACACTTACAAATGGCTAAATGATGTTGCTATGGCAAAGTTAAACACATGAAAGGTTCCAGTATGGGCTTGTCCTGGAGATAGGGAGCTAACACTACTGCGTGCTGTCAAAGGTACAGTGTGAATGCATCGCTACTCCAACGTCCCATTGCTTTGACATTTTCGAAGGGTACACCTCTTAGTAGATACTCTAGGGTCCCGCCAATGTGAATTCCATGCCCTTTCAGGGTTTCGAAACCTAGGCACTCACTAGTTGTCTGAATGCATTTCAAAAACTCTCCATGCGTCAGCGGTCTCAATCCTCTGTGGTGACGCCAGCTGAAGAGGTGAGCTGAAGCTGGGGGGTTATTGACAGTGAGATGATTTAACATTGCTGCATGGGGGTCTGCTGGGCCTGATTGTGCTACCCAGTAGATGTCTGCTCCGTCCAAAGAGGTTTTGGTGCGGGGCAAATGGAAAACGGTGACCTTCAGTCCAGTCCTGTCCTCCTCGCTGTGCACGTCACTCACTTTCACGTGAAGATGGGGGTTCTCACGAAAGTATTGCAGAGACGACACGGTGAACTCGCCGGTTTGAGTGATAGTGAAGAATGATGTTGTCAGACAGGCGTATACAGCCGCATGCAAGGGCTTCTTCAGGTCTAGAGCCTCGCGGATAGTACTGATAATGGCTATAGTGAAGGCGGCCCGTTTTGGTCTTTTCAAGGTCGGTGGCGCAAAGTGCTTGGCTCCTTCAAGGGCTAATGCAATCTCCGCTTGATGTACCAGCCATGGGTGACCGTGCAGTAGGTGCCAAGCCCAAATTCCATAGAAGTAGTTGGCTAGACTACTTCCGGAATACACTCCCGCGCATGAGGCAATGAATGCAAGCAGTAGAATAGACAGCACTGGGCAACGTTGTTCCTCTGGGATTTTCCGGGCGTTGCAGAACACATGAAAGACGAGTAGACCTGAGCCATACATTTCTCTTGTGCTTGGTGCATGTGAGTGACTAATGACTGCGATGATGCGATCTAAATCACTGTCTGATGTGGTCACTGGAGAACCAGAAGGGTCAAGCCACAATCGCGACGTTGCTGGGATCCAAAGGTGAAGTCTATTGTGGGATAAGCAGTGAGGACGAAGGAGAGAGGATAGCAGGGTCAAGGCGGTGGGATATGGGTGGGGTCTGGGACCGGTGGGGGCGACAGGAAGTGGTATTGGAGTTGCGAACCATGAGGTGTTAGTCACGCCAAGTGTCTTGGTAGTGTAGGAGCTGTTCTCCCCAGTCCCAGGCTTCTGCTTCATCAGCTGACTCAATGTCCACTGCATGCTGATCATCGTCACAGGTGTCGATGCGCTGGGTTGACTCATCTGCGTCGACAAGGAGCATTGGAAGGTCTCCTGGGAGAGCAATGGGTGGTAAGAGTAAATTCCTAGGGGGGAACAGTCCCCTGGAGGGCCTGTCTGCTGGGTTGGCTGCACTGGGGATATAGGATAGGTGAAAAACGGCGGTATTTTTGCGAGACTCGAGCAACTCATGAATCTGCTTGAAGACCAGGTTGGTGGCTTGATTGCGGCTGCGACTGGATCTCCAGCCGTGGATGATCCCTTGGTTGTCGCTGAAAATGCGGAAATGAGTGAGTACTCCATCATTGTGGTAGCTGTTGAGGATGGCGTGAACGAGGAGTTCAAACCTGACTGCCTCTGCCCAACCAATATCTTGTTTACCATTGAGGGTTCTCCACCCTGGCCGAAGCGACCAGGCCTGCCAATGCCCATTGATAGTAATTGTGATGCCGACAGACGTGCTTGCATCTGAGAAGGCTTGGCAGTCGATGATCGCCGGGTGACTGGAGATGGTGCACCTGATGAAAGATCTCTTGAGCCTGCTCTCCCACCAATCAAGATCGTTGTCAAGGTGTTTGGCGGGGTGATGTGACACAAAAGGACCGCTATGGTAGATGCTGAGCATGGACTCCAGAGAGGTGAGGTAAGTGTGTCCTGTTGGTAAGACCAAGCAGGCATGTAGTAGTTTTCCATACAGCTTCTGGACGTCCATGAGAACATGTGTTGGTCGCGAGTGCCACTCCACAATGGCTGCAAGGTACTTCTCTTTTTTCGCTTGTGATAACTCGACCGTGAGCCTCGCCAGGTTCCACATAAGGCCCAGGTATAACACCAAGAAGGTGAAGATGGTGTCTTTGGTGGGCTCCCACGGGAGGCCCAAAGGACTTGATACCTGGTTGATGTCTGCAAAGTTGTAGCTGAATTGTGAGTCGATGGGTGAGTGCGAAGAGGATTGGGAGAGGTTGCGTAAAGGAAAACTACAGTCCTCTGTATACACATTGAAGGATTTGTTGTCGTGAATCGTACCTTTGAAAGAGGCACCCTCCTTTTTGTAACTGCCCGTTGAGGTCCAGCATGCATTGTGTGGACTTTCGCAAAGTGTTGTACTAGTTGACGTGCTCGCAATGCATGTGGAAGAATAGGTGATCATTGACCCACTTAGCAATGGGTCCAAGACCCTCTGCCCGTAGGATGTTGACTCCAGTGTCAGCCACGTGGCCATATATGCCGGCAGATGGTCCCATTCCAAAGGAGACGCATGTATCTGCGCAGAAGCCCCCTTTGGGAAGCTGTACCACTGCTGCAGGCCACTGTGAGTGGTGTAGTGAAATGGTGCGGTAGGCTTCTGCAATGTTGTGGGTGGCTGCCTGAGATCCCGGTGGTAAGCCGTGGATGATGGTGCAGATGGTCTCAAAGGTTCCCCAAGTGCAAGGGAAGTTGTCTGAGTTGACGCTTGAGTTGATGGATTGGTTGGGGTGAGCTGTTGATGTGACGAGTGGAAAGGAGAAGTTTTGTATGACGCGGAATTTCCCCAGTTTGCCCGACTTGGGTATGATGGAGATGGGGGACGATTGGAAAGGGCCGAGTAAGGACAGTAATTCATTATTAGTGAAAGGGCCGATGTAACACCCTGTAGTAAGTTCTTGAGCAAGGATTGATTCAAAGGCGTCTTGGAAGGCAAAGAGTGAAGGGCTATTAGGGGGAACTTGCATAGTGTGTATGGGCGGAATATGGAGATTGAAACTGTATCGGAGACCTTGAGACCGGAATGGGTATTTGACGAGAAGGTTATGAGTGCAAAGTTGTGATTCCCACTCTGCTGGATTATAAGGGGTGACTGGGTGTAAGCACCTGTGTCCGAGGACAGTGTTGAGCTCCATGAGCGGTGGAGAGACAGCCGGAGCAGATATGACACTCAATGTGGGCGTGACTGGAGCAACTGTTGATGCATTGCCAGTTGACGCAGAAGGGCTTGTTGGAGCTGCAAAGAAGCAACTGTTTGTTGGTGCGCGTGGCAACTGCTGGAAAGGCGTTGTCCCATAGGCGTTCGGCCGTGCATTTGATAAAGCTGTGACTGTTCCTCCCCAGGCAGACTGCGCACACTGCTGGGGAGCAAGGGCTGTGTGCACTGTCTTGAAAACCCGAGCGGGCTACTGCTGCAGCGCGAGCATTGCGTGGTGCAGCCGACTTCTTGTTAGGGGAGGCTGAGTGTCTTTTCCTACTTGGAGAGATGGAATGTCTCGACCGCCTACCCCGTGGGTTGGAGGAGTCTCCAGGTCCTATGCGCGAGCTTGAGCCTTGGCTCTTCTGTTGCAAGGGACCAAACGCAAATGCAGAGTGTCAAATTGACATGAGAGTATCGCAAACGCGAAATCCCGTCAATAAGAATGTCATTGAGAAGGATTGTGGGGAAAGGAGTGGAATCTGTCAGTTGTGAACTAGATTTTTATTGAGATCAACATACCTTAAAGTCGTTACTCAAATCCTGTTTGTTCCGGTCATCTTGATATACAAGGTCGCACGTGTGAGTGATGACCGTCTCATTTATTATGGATATGTCCCAGGCGTTGGCTGGTATGGGTATTGCGTTGTGCCAGGCGCATCTCTGTTCTTCTTGGTATAACATCAGGCCTTTTTGCGATGGTTTGTTCCTTGAGTTCCAGTGGCAGTGTATCATCAGCGCTCCCCAGAAGTGTGCTAGCATCAGGACTCTCTGTTTGGGCCATCCTCGTTCTTCAAAGGAAGATATCATGCAGGGAACCACTTGAGCGAAGTCTATGGCAGCTAGATTGCGATCAGGAATGATGCCTGCAGAGGGCCTCGTGGCTGCTGCCTGTATCCAGGTGGTGGATCTGTCTTCTCCCGCGATGGGAACCATGCCCTCATCGTCTCTGGTGCGGTAGTTGGTTAGGGCATCATCTAGTCCATCATTAGTCCAGTAGTAGATCTCAATGTAGAGCCCTTTGTCAATCTTTCACATGGTGAAATCTGAGACGAGAATTTTGTCTTCTGCAGTGGTGGGATGTGGACGTTCAGGAAGGATATGGTATTTGCTACGATTCTTCTTCCTTTTGTCTGCTAGCACGGTCTCTTCTTCAAGCTGGAGAGCTTGACAAATATGTTCCTTTTCTTCTTCCGCTAAACGCGTCTGTTCAATATGGAGACGTTCATCTTCTCCCACTTGTTGATGCCATTGGGCACACAATGCATTGTTGGTGGTAATCCAAATTTTATGTAGAGTGGCGGCTGCTTGTGCTTCTGTGATGTCAACTGTCACAAAAACTGTATGACTAGCCCAATACCGTTTGTCCATGAAGTCGCGGCAAATATTGGTACTAGGGTCAGAAAATAGTCTATTCATGATGAGATGCTGACAGAGGTGTCTGGCGAAGAAGCGCCTGAAAAGTTTAAACACTGGCAGATCAGACCAATTTCGAGCCACAAGTACTATAGGCGCTGAAGGCTAGGCATAGTAGAGAGGAAGAAGAAAGGTGTGTCACACTTTGCTCAAAACGGGCAAAGACCTCATTCTTTCCACGTGCTCATGCCTCGCACTCTGTCAGAATACAACCTCCGCATTTTTCAGCCACATGGTGTGGGAATTACCCCACAACACCTCAAACATCACCCAATTTGGTATACCCCACAATTATAATTATTCTCACACCCTCCCCACCTCACTGCAGCTTCACCAGCACACTACAATGGGTCCCTGTTCATATATAGGTAGTAGTTTAATATATATATGTATAATTTAATAGACCACTTTTTTTGTTTATTTGTGTGACAGCTCCCCCTCCAGGCCCCTTTCAAAATAGGGTAGGGTACAGAACACTTTCGAATTTTTGCCCCTTTGATAGGGAAGTGTCCCAGGGCATTAAGAACATGTTTATGACTATATATGGAGATATTCCCATCCTTATTTGACCCCCTGAAGCGTCCTATATCAATAGATATGGTATATATGCAGGAAATCACAAAATATGTTCTCATTTGATTATTTCTAGGTGGACAGACTCATAAAAATGATTCCCAGCATCTATTTATCAATGGGAACAGAAGTTTCCCACACTCAATTTCTTATCTATTTCACTTCCTCAGCACTCAATTCTTGTTAGATTGTGCTATAAATTTGTATATATGATACTGAATATATTTGAAATGTACTCCAGGTTTCTGATCATCAAAATTCGATGTTTTGAAGGTATGGTCCCCTTATCAGTAGAAATAGCAAGTATATACACTACCTGAACACTCCAGCCTATTTTGAGCTGATCCTGAGTACAAGACACATATATGCATGTACCACTGATGATATATGAGCTGGGTGGGCCATATGGGCAAGGGTGAAATACTGAAAAACATCAAAAACATCAAAAATGCGATTTTCTATTATTTTGTTCCTGTAGAAGGATCCTGCATGTATCATGGGCTAGCTATATGATAGATATACTCTAAATATGCATATTAATATGCCCCTCACCCTCCTTGAGGTCCGGTCCTGCAGGAAATTTTTTCACAGGGGGTAAACCACCAGAAGAGGGGGGTACACTGTGCAACATGACATTCTCCTATGGTCCTGGGCTCCTTATACATTGTTCCCATTGTTAAATAGATGCTGGGAATCATTTTTATGAGTCTGTCCACCTAGAAATAATCAAATGAGAACATATTTTGTGATTTCCTGCATATATACCATATCTATTGATGTAGGACGCTTCAGGGGGTCAAATAAGGATGGGAATCTCTTCATATATACTCATAAACATGTTCTTAATGCCCTGGGACACTTCCCTATCAAAGGGGCAAAAATTCGAAAGTGTTCTGTACCCTACCCTATTTTGAAAGGGGCCTGGAGGGGGAGCTGTCACACAAATAAACAAAAAAAGCGGTCTATTATATTATATTATACACATATATACTAAACTACTACCTATATATGAACAGGGACCTATTGTAGTGTGCTGGTGAAGCTGCAGTGAGGTGGGGAGGGTGTGAGAATAATTATAATTGTGGGATATACCAAATTGGGTGATGTTTGAGGTGTTGTGGGGTAATTCCCACACCATGTGGCTGAAAAATGCGGAGGTGTGAGGTGTGGGGATAATGTGGGGAGGCCTGACATGATGATGCATCAATGATACATCACTATGCATCATTTTGGGCAGCTTTTTTTAAAACCTTACATTTAGGCAAGAAACTACTTGTCTTCCATCTATCAATACGGTCTGCCTGGGGTAAGGTATTACAGCATGTTCTTCCCATCCTAAATTCTAGCCGAAATTTTGAATCACCGCAACAGCTCAAGCGTGGATAATTTGCAGGCAGCAGACCTACAGTGATTAACACAGAATTTCAACTGACATATCTGTTCTCATCTTCTACCACCAGTGGCAGATCTCTTGTTCATAATTCAGATACTACTTCTTGAAGCATTGTGATCACAGGTGTGGATTTAGAATCCTCTGCTGTCTCCAATTCAGAGTCTTATGAGAAGCCAGTGCAATTCACAGGGCATGAGAGACTGGACATGCAATAATTGCAGGGCTTTGCACCATCTTCCAGAGAACGACCACCAGGCCAGCAGGAACATTTAAAGTGCTCATTCTAAAATATGCGTGCTCACACCCAAGTATAGTGGAGAATGGCTTTGTGCATTCTTGGACAATAAATTTTGCTGTCCCTTTCGCTATAAAGGATGTTTGATCTCTGGCCAAATTGATTATATCCGAAAGCATAAGAAATGTAGTTTTGGACTGGTTGCAGGTGATACCATGACACCCGAGAGCATATATGGAATGGATGTCAAGAACTGGACAGCAATTGCGGTGGGAGAATATTTACTGAAGATATATGGACCTAGTGCCTCCACTTCATCTGTATGTTCAGATCTTTTCCACTGTTCCAGCTGCCCATAGATTTATTCTGTTTCAGAACCAGAACTCTGGCGCTGTGCATCTGCCATGCCAGACTGGTGTAAACCTTTCTGTTACTCAAACTCCTGCTACAAATGTTCCTGATAGTGAAAACACTGTAAGTCATATGTCCTTTCATACTTGGAATAGTATCTTTAATATGTCTCAGCATGAAATAGATCAAACTAGTCCCCAAGATCATGTACTGGCAGCAGCTCCTGCACCACAACTATCAGTTCTGTATCCACCACCACCCCTCCCCCACTTCCTCCTCCACTGTCACCGCCACTGCTGAGCCAGCTGCCCACTAGTAGTACTGGAGCTATGATGGATCTTCACTTAGAAAGGAATCATGATGGTACGGAGTCTGATGCTGGACGTCAATGTGAGTCTAACAATTGTATGGATAACAGTCTATCCTGATGTAGTACAGCTGCTAGTTTGCAGATGCAGAATGATTGCAATCATCTTCTTGGTGACGGCAGCAGAGGTTCAGGAGCCAATCCAAAACAATCTATTCTTCCGGTATCACAGGTGCCAGACTGTGATGATCCTCTCTGTTGTCTCATTGATGTCCAGGAGCTGGATGGCTTACAGCTGATGACAAAATTCCAGCCTCACCTTAGCCTTTTTATTTACCAGCGATGCCAGTTCGCTGTATGGGCCGACCATCTTGTAGGACATATATTCCATAATCATAAGCATCTTATCCCCACTATCAAAAAAACCATCATGGAATCCACAGTTAATGCCGCAAGCCAAAGACTTTCCGCTGCAGAGTCTTCCCAGCGTATGGTGGTCTTGCCTGACCGTGCTCTCCCCCCATTTCCCTGGCTACAGGATCCCATTCGAGGTTACCAGTGCCATCACTGGAACTCTTGATTTGGTTGCAGCTCATGGGAAAATTCAACACCGTGATATGGGGACTCCGTGAATTACTAGACATGATCCACCTATTTTTGCTCAGCATCTGTTTTCCCGAACTCGGTACTTTGTTGTGCATATCACATTACAGAACGTTGGACCAGATGATTTTTTCGCAAAGTTCTATTCCACCCTCCCTACTCGCTACATCAATGGTGCTTTCATTAATGGCAACTTGTCCAAAACATCAGACCTGGCCGACCTCTCTCCATTTTTTACTAATGCTGGCTGGGCCCAGGCAACAGAAGGCTATTCTCTGGCTGGATTATGAAATATGTCTGCCTCCAAGGTTGGTAGCCAAGATGTTGAGTATCTCACTCGCATCAAGGGCCTTGGCAAGAAATACCTCTCCAACATTTCATCTACTTCCAAAATTGATCATACTCTCTTGGATGAACTCACCAGCTGGAGGACTAGATAGTAAGATTTGATGATAGTCTCTTAGATCTGAGATTTTCTAACAGGCCCTTCAGTCGCCCTTTCCAAATATTACAGGAAAAAGACTCCATTGAAAACTATGGACTCTACTGTGACCGGCTTATCATGATAATTTTACACATAACATCCACTAGGTTGGCTTCAGAGGAAGCAGTAGGCAATGACTTCAACCATGAGGGTCACACGGATGATGAAGATGACAATTACGACACTAGCGACTTACAGTTGGACTGGGAGAACATGGACCTTATAGACATAGATGGGGAGGTTGAGGGTGAGGGCAAGGGCAAGGGCAAGGACAAGGACGAGGGTGAGGGTGAGGATACATTATGGTCAAAAGAAGACAGTTTGGAGATGGAGAGTTTGATGAACCTGGAGGCTATGGATGACGAGGCTTCTTATCCCGTGATCTTGAACTCTGTCCAGATACAACAAGCCAAGATGCTGAGAGAATGCTGCTCTAATGACAGCTTCTCTGAAGAACAGTGTATAGAAGCCTACCACACCCTCCTGCTGTCGGTCTTCACAACTCACACAAGTAATTCTTGAGGACCCCTTCACTCCCTTATCGACTCCTTCATAATATCAACTAGCATTGATGTGCAGGGTTGTTTCATACTGCCTCATCTGACCTCAAGCCACCTAGCTAGAATTCTTTATGCTGCTCTTTTTTCGATCTTAACCCATGTCATGAACACTCCCGATCCATACCAGTAAGCACATCAGCGATAATATGACTTGACTTATAATTGACTAATGTTCATTTGTAGAACATTCATTAGTTCTATGAAAAAGTGGATAAATCCCGGTATGCGGACTCCATTTTGCACTGTCCAAAGATATTCTCGTCTATGCTATGCTATATGCTGAGGCCAGATAACGCTCCCCCGGCTTCAGTTTACAACTTCTGATGGGCCAGACTTCACGTTCGATAGAAAGCCTCTGTCCATCACCTCCATCACCCAGATGTATCACAGTGTATATCATGAGATGGTCCATATACTGGAAGAGCATCTTCTATTCGGAGCTGGCGACACAGTCCTACAACCTCTGAAGAAACCGGAGGAGATTACCGACAAGCCTCATGAGCACATCATTGGCCATGGAGTATTGGTTTCAGAGATGGAAGTGGCGTGGACCCCCATCAAGTTTATCATGAACAATGAAAAACTGCTGAAGAAGTACTTTAGCATCGGTTCCACTAGTAGAAATCCAGTACCACACAAGGGGGCATGGGAGGAATATTTGGAGCATGTCGAAACCTTCAAGGAACACTTCTATTTTTTATTCCATCAAATTCCTGGAATGCCAAAACGAGGCACTGAGGAAATTTGGGCGAAGATTGTTGACACCAGTTTCTGCAGCCGCAACATCATGTATCTCTTTCACCATCTTGCCTGCATAGGAGATTACAGCAAGACTTCTCGAAACCCTAGCAACGATAAGCTCACTCTTCATTTTCTGGCCCATCCTCTGGAAATGGTATTGAGGCGATATCAAGCTTCAGTGGTCAGTATCAATGCATGGGCTATTGACCATGTCCTTCCTTCCGAGATGATTGATCCCCACAATTATTGCTATCTCCTCTATAGCAAGGGTCAGCGGTGGACATCAGAACACCTTTCTCACATCCTTCAGCAACTCACTGCCCAATACCTACCTCATAATGTTAGCCTCAACATGAGCTCCTTAAGGCACATTTTTCCTGGCATTGCAGAACATTACTGGATCTCGGATGTCCTGTCTCCAAGAACCGATGACGTGCTACATGCTCAGCTGGGCCATAATTAAGAGACAGGCGATCAGATGTATGCCAGAGCCCACCAGGATCATCCCCAGCTGACCAGTGCAATGGCACACCAATTCATCCTGTTTTATGATCTATAGCAAGAGTTCCTAGGCTTCAAAGAAGATATCCCAAATGAAGCCACTGCCCTATCCCTTCAGGCATCATATGCTCAGTGACAGCTGTCTTCTAGGACTCTTTTATCCTTATGGACTGGTGCTCAGACTAGCCCAACAGTCATTTCTGATCCCATACCCCTCCATAGCTACAATGACCTCTGTGACCGTATCAGCAGTCTAGAACGCACCTTGAAAAACAAGGATGAAGATCTTAACAAGTGTTTCACTAGCCTAGAGGGTTCCTTGGCTAAGATGATGCATATGGTGTCATCAATCTTGCAAGCAGTCCAGCCATCCCACTCAGCCGCTGGCGCTGCTCTCTCTGCCATTCAGCTACCGCAATCTTCTAACTCTGACACTAGCTGCCTGATTGCTAGCTAAGAAGTCCAATGCTCTCATGTTTCAGCTGCACAAAGCCCTGAATCCAAGGTATGTAACAATATATGATTATGAAGTTCAATGGCCTGACCACAAGTGATGGAATGCCACAGCAACTGGCTAGCTGCTGCCGAAGTATACTAAATGGTTCTGAGGTGTGTCATCTCTAACCCCATCCTGCTATGAGGGAACACCATCTCATGACATTGGGACCAGGTGGAAGAACGTCCTTTGAAGCGGTTGAGGATCGTTGCTCCCGCAGTCCATCATGGTCCATCAAATGCTGACAATTTGACACTTTGCACTGAAGAAAGACCTGCCAGTGCTGATTCAGGCAATTCTGAGGTATTGTGCAACCACATTCATCCTATATCATCTAGCTAACAATACAATCATCACTAGGCTCTCCAAGAAGGCATTAGCAAGGTACTCTGCCCTCAGTGCAACATCTATGTCCACAGCTCCAATTCCGACCTAGCAGCTCATTTTTGATATGCAAAAAGTCAGGAAGGCAGTGTCAACAGCTGCACATATTCAGTTTCAAGGCTGTTGTTCCTGGGCTACCTATATGTCTTGCCCATCTACAGGCCTCCAAGCGCTGGGAACGTCTGCACTCCTGCAGATGCCGACAACAGATAGATATCATCCCTAATTTGTGCTGATGGATGTCTTTACAGGTTTGAAGAACAGCAGCTTGGCAAGTGCTTAGTGACACGGGCCTCAATGAAGAGACAATTTTTCCTCTCAGCTTGGGCTTCTCAACAATATTCTGTTTGCCATCAAATTTGAGACTCATGTTTTGATTTTCCAGCACTTTGTAGAAAGCGATAAGTGGAACCGCAATAGGTAATAAATAATATCAATGAGTGTGCTTTAAAATATAGATCTCACTATATGGTATAAGTAAAACTGCAAAGGGCCCTGCCTGAGTTCATGACTTAAGTGCATCTTGAAACCTATGAATGAAAGGGTAAGTTATAATAGGCTGCTGAGTGATACAAGGCAAGCAAATGGATACTGACAAATGAATCAACATGATGGAATCACTGTGACTGCAGGATCACAGATAAGCAAGGGAAAGGAAATATCCATCCCCAGAGTCGCTGCCACCAAAAGAGACGGCATATCCATAGTGGAAGACAAATAGTGCAAGGGTAAGTTGGAATGCCAGCAGTGGCTTGGGCATGCACACCAAACTTAACATGGCCTCCACCCCACCCCACAATGGGTGTAATGGTAGCAGTAAATATGGGGAAGGGGTGGGGATAGAACTCATCTGCAGTGTATTGATAAACAATGATCATGTCGCCAACACCAAGTTACTTGGATGGAGGACTTGGTCCACAGTAGCTGTTGAATATCCATGTGTCTGAGTCAGAGTCAGCACTGGAGGGGGGGTTCATAATGAGTGAAGCAGCTACCGAGGTGACAAACAGCATATTATAGGTCAGGAGGAATGATACTGGGGTTCAAAGTACTATGTTATAGTCCAGAATCACAACTTGGCAAAAGGCGAGGTAATTATATACTGACACATTATAAATGTAAGGCAAGTAAGGGTGAATAGAACATATATATCACTCTTTATCACTCCTTCAGGAGAGTGAAGTTGGGAGGCCTCAAGGTGTTGAGAAATCCAAAAATAATCTTTCTGTTATATACATGCGTCTTTTTTAAGTTCTCAAGTGTCTCTTATGTCCCTCCATAACTTAACAAGTTGCACCAGCAGTATCTCAGTCTATCTGAAGCCGACCATGCTATTTGAAAGGTCATAAATGCCCAACTTGACAATGCTCTGCTCTGTGTACTTGACACTACTGTACACCAGACTCTTATGCAATTGAGAGATGCAGATATGGACCTTCAAATCAAGCAGACTCAGAGTATAGAGAGCTCATATCATTAATAATTGCATGTTGTGATATCCAAATGAAGCACATTTGGGGTATCGCTGAGTATGGAGTGATCCATGCTGTATTGACAAGGACAACAATGTTGAGCTCCATGCATCAGTCAAGGTGGACTGATAGGGCAGAAGAGTGGAGGGCTTAGGGTGGAAATAGAGTTAGTTGGGTGGGTCAGAGGTAGGGGCAGAGGTAGCAGGGCTAGTCCTACTGAGATGCACTGTGTGCATTGTTGAGGAAGGAGGTATGGAGTGGATGGGGAAACAGGGGGTTGGACCAGCAGTGGGGATATCTATAGACAATATTGGAGGTGCTTGGATCTGGTATATGACAGTATTGCTGTCACAGGCCACACTCTAAAAGTTCAAGCTTCCTTAGTCTTTACTCTGCACTGGACATGGAGCTGTTCATACTTGATAAATAGATGGGTACATTAGTTGTTGCCCATAGTGTAATGCTAGCTACAAGTTGTCCTTCATTATCTGACATCCCAATGATGCCAGTATAGTTTCTGGTCACAGTAATCCAGTCCACATCCACAGGGTATGGGGGCTGGAAGGCCTTGAGTATGCTTCGCTGTGATCACTGTCAGCCATCAGCTAACACCTACTGTGTGATCATGAACACTACAATTACCAGTGACATTGAGTAGTAGTCACATGAAGTTGTTGAATCAACTATGAGTAGCAGGTGTAGACTGTCATACTGATGCTCAAAATCCTAGGTAGTACTGTCACATCTCTTCTTTTTTTAGTCTCTTTCATTTTCATCTCTTCCTCTTCATCTCCATGTAGTTTACTTAATTTATAAACTACCATACTATGTGTCATTTGGTAATTACTATGTCATGTGCTCAATGATTGTGTGCATGTTGTGGTATATTTGCCTTTGTTTTGTCAAGGTTGATGCAAAGCAGAAAGGTGTACAACTGGTAGCTGGAGAGCAGTATTCTAAAAGGAGATAGGTGAGAGTCTGGAGATGAAGATGGAGCACCGGATGGAGAATAGGATGGAGACCCAGACTTTCATGGGGGAGAACCCGGACTTCCAGGTATGAAGGTATAGGATATGACAATATGTATGGGATGAATCAGTAATTGGATGGCTATAGGAATAACCAATGATCACCTGAGTGACACCACTTATGTTAATACTTAGTAACGTGAGAATGTACGCATTCACGTTACTAGTTAGAGGCAAAAGTCTATACTGCAGTACTGCAGCACTTACTGCAGCACTCAGCAGTGACTTCGCAGGTATTTTTTTTTTCCCCTCGGCTTTATCCGACGATGGCTTATCTGGGCTTATCAGCTGTTATCAGCAAAACCTTATCTAACGCTTTCGGCAATGTGTGGGCTCGGGTGCCAACTACTCCCGCCGCTGGCGCCAATGTTCCCACAGCCTCTGCTCATCGTCTACAATGATGAGCACGCTTATATCACTCAATCTTGCTCAAACATGAGCGCATTTTTTGCGCTCCCTTTCTCCTATGGTCCTCCTCTACTATGGTAATGTCTTTCAACTGTTTAGCTATACTCGTGTTGAGTGTTCGTTTACCTTCTGTATTCTGACTAAGCATACTAACTGTTGTCCCTCACCACCATGGGGAGACAGCGTCCATTCCACACAAGCTCACAGAAGGTCACAATGACCGTCCTTCGCCATACAGGCCCACAGACCACCTCTGCTGGTCTGATGCATATATGAGCAGACCGCCTACGAGCTGAGAAAGAGCTCCAACTTCAAGCGCAAGGTGAGTGTATGAATTAGTGTTTCTTTTGTTCTTACAGTGAAGTGTGGGCAGATCCATGTCGTGCACAGCAGGCTGCACTTGCTGCAGAGGCTGCACTGGAAGCCGGGACAAGTTTTGATATGATGGATCAGTCTTTTGATGGTGCTTTTGATGGTGACAGCCATATGCAGCATTCATCAGATGGCAGCAAGGGCAACACGGACACGGACACAGATACAGACACGGACACGGACACAGAGACAGACTGTCCCAGCAACAAGAATCGTTACTCAGTTGAAACCAGGCTACTCTCCGCCTATGCCAGGCTGCAGTTGAACAACAGGTACTGTTGTATTTCTTCTCCTCAGTCTTTCCAGCTGATGGTTACTGTAGCTCGTCAAAGCGCCGTAGTGACCAACGGACACGAGAAGCACGCTATGCCAACATGCACGCTTCATGGGGCATGCAGATGCCTGCGCTAACGGACGCATATATTGCCTGGAAGCATCCAGGTTCACTCAATATCACTCAAGTTTCGGCTCATAAGTTCCAGGTCACTGCGGTGCAGGTCTTTGGTACGCTTTCTTCATTTTATTTAAGATCGTGTTGCTTACATTTTCTAGAACTAGACCATTTTCACGATATTATGCAACAACACGAAGAAGTTGCAAATGTGTCTCTGTTGCGTGTGGGTTTACTAGGCTGCTCTCCTACTGCACCAACTGTTGCAATCAGCCTACGATGTCTCGAGCTTTATCATCAGCTTCGATGACGGCAATCTTCACTCAGCATCCAGGCATTCACAAAGGTTTTGTGTGCGATACATAATGTACGTTATGTATTGTAAACGACTTACAGCATTCTGATTAACAATTAGGTCAATTACGCGCAAACATTTCGCAATCAATTTTCAATCACGTTTGACGTATATCTTGCAATACTTCGCGAGGTTCGGTCCCGGGTGGATATAGCACTCGGCCGCACAGATCCCGACTGGCGCCTTCAACATGGTTGTCCAGCATGCACGTTTGAGGTCAGTGTACTATTTTTTAAAATTATCATTGTCTGATCTATTTTCAACAGCAACCCAATGAATGTCCACTGTATCCTGCCAGTCTCAAGGCAATGGATGGGAATAACTCCGCGAAACGCATGGCGAATGCTGGTAATGCAGATTGCCGTATCTTTCCCAGCAGGTATATGATTCCCCCCAATCAAGTTGACATGTTCAAGGACGACGTACGGTTACGACCCGGTGAACGCGGAGCCAATCAAAACAATAATGCCACATCATGTACCGACAATTGGAAGGCTGCTAACTCAACCAATGAGAACACCGTGCACGTTTTCGAACAGACTGGTATCTTTCTCTCTGCCTGCCGACATGGAATTGTCCAAACAGTTACCGAGATGCGCCACAGTGGCGAGCTGTAAGTTTTCAATATGATTTAATATTATGTTATTGATGATTGTTAAAAGCGCTAAATATCCTCTCGCAACGACGAATAAGCTTCTTGACGTCTTCGGTGACAACCAAGCCATCAGTAGTGATATCAGTTGCAGCTTGTCTAAGACACTCGCCGCCAGCTCAATACAAGACAAGGCTGACAATCATAAGCTTTCACTGTCGGTCAATGCATTCCATGGACATGCTCACAATTGCAAATGTCAGTTGCAGTATCACCCCATGTACCTACGTGGCTTCGGACTCGAAGATCTCGAGACTTGCGAATGTATTTTTGCAAGCTCGAACACCACAGCATGCCTCATTCGCCACGCGTCACATTTTCATTACAGTCAGTTCCTAGACCTGCATTTTGACCAATGGGACATGGATAGATATTTTGAACTCAGTAAGGTTTCATTGTCTGAGTAATGATCCCGATTGATCTGATTGAAATTTAGGCCGCTTTATTTTCAATAACTACAAACAAGCAGTTACCTTGATCACCGATTTTACCAAAGAACTTGACGCCTACCGCTTATCCTTCCCTGACCAGGCCATGGATTTTGAGACCTGGGTAGCCGAAGAACTCGCATATCTGGAGTCTGTTGCATCGGAGCCTGCTCGCGACGCTCTCGCAGTTGATTATGTGGAAGCGCTGGAGAAACTCGATACGTATCAGTAAGTTTCATTTGTTTCATTTGCGCGTGTTTTAAAGTTCACGATCAATCCAGGCAACAGTTCAACTCATTTAGAACAGACCAGTTTTTGACGTACTCGCCGTCATCATTCACACCTGACTCTGGGTTGAGTGTCACAGCTTCACAAACAACGAAGCAGGCACAAGCAGCTCGGCGTGCAGTGGAGCGCCGTCTTCAAATTCAAATCAACATTGTTGAGGATTTAGAGACTCGCCTAGACATCGCTGACCAGTGGATACCTGAAAGTTCAGACTATCGGGAGACACTTGACTATAGCCAACGACGGTGATTCATTCGGGTAGTTGAAGATCTTGAGGGCCTCGTTGTGCAGCGTTTATTTGAGTTGTCCAAAGCTAACCTCTCATCAACCGGTACTAACTTAATGTTTATTAATTTATTCTACTAACAAAATCTTTCATCGCAGGCTATAAACTTCGAAGACAAATATCTCGAGCCATCGTCAAGCGATCCAGTACAATTCGTACAGCGCTGGACAAGTACAACAAGCTTGCCGTCATGCAAAATCCACGAAGGCCAACCCTACAATATAGCAAGGTTATGTCTTATGCAGCCCTTGGCGAGTTTGAGATCCTCAAACATTCACGACACGATATTCTGATGAAGCCTTGGAGCAATCCCACACATCGTGAGATGGCCATTAAGTATTTTAAGATTCTCCGAGCTCATGAGGAGATCACTCAACTTAATGTTGAAATCCGCCGCCTGCACGCTTGGATCGATGTTGAGGATTCTGACATCAAACGTGTGGCCACCGAGCTCGAGTCAACTAACCTCCCACTTGCGGCGGAAGTTTGGGAGCTATATAATTGGCAGCGGAGGGTCAATGATGTGCATCACGCTCGCATCAATCGATTATATTCACTTGAAGGATTTACTGGTTGTGTTCCTTCTGACATGATCGCAGCAGATGTCTCATTGGATGTAGATGAAGTTGCAGCAGAGATGATTGACGATGAATCAGAAGGAGACGAGGCGGCACACTTTGAGTTATGTATTCAACAGATGTCATTGTAGTACTTTTGCGAATTTGAGGATTGTTCAATGTGACGTGATGGTACGCACTCGAGATAATTAAGCCAATCGATCCCAATAACACCAGTCTTTCCTATCTTACAGAGGCCGCTGCTTTCTGAAAGATATGTATGTATTGTATTAGTAGGATGAGTTGTAAGTGTACAATTACGAAGATCTTACATTGATTGACTCCGGAGTGTAGTCACATGTACAGTGATCTTAGATTGATGTGACAGACTCCCATACACCACGTTGTAACAACATGTGTGCATTTACTCAATACCTGCCTCATTTCTCATTTCTGACTTCACTCTGCACTTTGCTTTAAAGAGACTCGCAAACTTCCCAGCCTTCAAAACCAACTTTGTGGACGCCTTATTGCTCTCACCTTCAGATTCTCTGTTATTTTCTGCAATCGTGCAGCTTTCACTATGCCTACTTCAAACTCCACATTCACCACAGAATCAAGCGCTCCGGATGGTCATTTGCCTCGGCCAATCCACCACCTTCACTATTTAGACCTTGCAGTTGACGCTGATGATGATGCACTGGTATGTATCTTTCTTTTTGTCTCTGGGGGTCGTGTGCACTTACTGTTGATTCAGCATGACTTTATATGTATTCAGTTTCATGCAACATTCGATTTTGAACGGCCAGCAAAACATAGGTACAAACGAGGGCCTCGTGGATGCAAGATGGTCGCTATCAAATCTCCAGACATCACTCTCAAAGCTACTGTATCTCATCCGCCAACCTGCGAGCTCGCCAATGCCATGAGTAACATCACTACTACTCTTCTTGACCATTCGCTTCCTGGGATTTGTGACTCCTGGTTTCCAAAGAACTGTTGGAAGACGGTTGATCTGCCTACCAGACTACGACAGAGTAAGTTTTTTCGCCTCATCACCAACTGATTCTCATATCTTTCTCGCAGATGTTACTGTGACAGGCCCGACGACCAACGGTATAGCAGATGCGGATGCTACTGCAACGGACCTGACGTCGCCAGCTGTTTTGAAAGAGCATCCTGCCCCCAATATCACTTGTAAGTCGTTATCAATGGCTGTCAATTGTTATCTGATTCCATCATCTGGCGTTTGTGCCCACTTAGCTGACACCGGGTGCAATGCCCGGCAGATCGCTACTAAAATCAGATCTCTTAATGATGGTATGTGTGTATTGCTTCCATTTTATTGTGACAGGGTTGCTCAAATATCATTCTTAGGCACCAAAGAGCTCGCGCCGGTGAACACCCCTCCTTGTGTTTATACTAGAAACACCACTGGTAGCTCATCTCGCTCAATGTTGGATGATGCATTGGGCCCCGGCACAATGGCAGAAAGTCATGTCGGATTTTTGGCTCCTGGTGACCCAGTCATCAGAACTCCGAGCATCGGCTTGAATGGCTGTGTCAGTACCCCAAACACTCCCAACTTCGAGGCAGTGCGGGCTGTCCTTGCTTCGTACAATCTTCTGCGTGGAGTTGTCCGCGAAATTCATTCTTGTGTTCTTCAAAGGCAAGGCTTTGAGGAAATGCAGTGGCCATACATTCTTGACGAGAACTTGGTGTTTGAGCCTAAAAAATCTGCTCTTTTGCTTGCCATGTACAATCTAGGTGAGTCTTGGGTTTCGGCAAATGAGCTCATGACTGAAGCGATTTTCTAGTGTCTTAGGTACATTTTGTAACGGCATTGTATGCTAGAATTTCATGCTAGTATAAATCTTCTTTGCGGACCGTATTTTCGAGCAAGGGTCGCCACCATCTAATATATAATCCTCCATGTAAGTCTTAAATTTCTTAAATTTTGTTACTTTTGCTTCGCTATTCACTTGGTCATGGCACGCGGAAATACAAACAAAGTCAAGAAAGCACGGCCCCAGCTCACAACGTCTCAGAAGTCTGCGCGTCATGAGAAGTTCACCGCACTCACTGATGACATGAACGATGCCCGCACAGACTACATGGACAAGGTTCAAGTCCTTGCCAAGAAACATGGCCGGTGAGACCTTCTGTTATGAGTTATAAGGACATGCTCAACGGATGCTACTTAGGTCTGAGCGTTGGATGCGATGTCAACTGTTCCTTGGGGGTCAGACAGTTCGCCATCGTCGGCGTCCAAATGCATGGAACGCGTTCGTTCGTCAACGACTCAATGATATAAATGAAGGTACGTGTCTCTATCACACAACGTTGTGTCTGTACTCAATTTCAGCTCCTTGCCAGGCCTATCGAAGGGCGACTGTTGGAAACTTATGGAATTCATCGACTCTCACAAAGAAACTCTGCGCGTCGACTATGCAAGACTCTCCCACGCTCAAAAGAATGCTTTTGAGGTTGAGATCATGAAGATGCATGCCTCCAAGCAACGCATGGTCCATGATAACCCGAAGGCAGTCCAGCGCGACATGCAGGCCACTTTCGCTGCTATGGACCAAGAGGTACTTTCTGGTTTTCTTCCCTGCTCATTTTCTTATAGGTATATACTTTAGTGGACAGCTATTTGCTCCTGCCTCGGTGTCGAAGGCTTCTATGTGGCTGTCTGTGGTGGGATCGAGGACCTTAGCGGTCCCAAGCTTTTTTTTTCAGACAAGGCCGAGAAGTTTGTGCAAACCGTTCTGGATCTTGAGCCTCAGCGCCTGGCGTTAAAACTGGAAGCATTTGCTGTCTCTGGCCTTGGTACGTTTCTATACTCTAGCTAATCTGATTTTTTTGACGATATTCTACTGGCCGGTAGCTGAGGATGTATCCGCTATATCAACCCAGAAAAAATCCCTCAACAAGCTAATTAGCGAGTGTCGGACGCACATCCAAGATGAGCTTGGTGAGCATTATCTCTACAGAGTTTTCTTGTTGCTGATGTGGATGCACAGACTTTATCATGCATGAAAACAAACTATAACAACTATGAGCATGCTATTGTTGAACATCACAGTGTGGCGCTTGATGGTTGGCCATCCAAACTTCTGCCAATCCGGAATCCCTCTCGTATTGGTGGACGCAAGTCAGTACAATTGTTGCTCAATGCACTCATCGAAGGGACCTGTAAGTGGACAAAGCTGACGGAGGAAGAGCTTGCGGACAGAATTACTAGAAACCATGCTCGCGAAGCAGCCGGCGAGACCATCTATAAGCCACGGAAGAAGCACACCCCAAAGACGGTAGAGAAGAGTGCTGCCACTGTTGAAAGTAGCGGTGAGAGTGACGAGGGTGAAGGGAGTGAAGGGGGTGAGGAGTAGTCATTTGACATTAGCGCAGAGCATATGTTAGTTGCTTCGTAGTAGTTGTTCGTTTATCATCCTTTATGTTATAGCACTTGAAACATATAATGACAGGCACTTAGACAAAGGTCAAGGGTGTTCATCATTGCTGGCAGTGAGTAGAACATGCTCTGAGTGTAGTACTAAGCTATCTACACCGCTTAAAATAGTAGATACATCTGTTAAATATTCATCAGAGTAGAGGAGGACCATAGGAGAAAGGGAGTGCAAAAAATGCGCTCGTGTTTGAGCAAGATTGAGTGATATAAGCGTGCTCATCATTGTAGACGATGAGCAGAGGCTGTGGGAACATCGGCACCAGCGGCGGGAGTAGTTGGCACCCGAGCCCGCACATTGCCAAAAGCGTTAGATAAGGTTTTGCTGATAACAGCTGATAAGCCCAGATAAGCCATCGTTGGATAAAGCCGAGGGGAAAAAAAAAATACCTGCGAAGTCACTGCTGAGTGCTGCAGTAAGTGCTGCAGTACTGCAGTATAGACTTTTGCCTCTAACTAGTAACGTGAATGCGTACATTCTCATGTTACTAAGTATTAACATAAGTGGTGTCACTCAGGTGCCAATGATCTGGGAAGTAAGAGCTAGGTACTGAAGGGGGAAGTATATATCTAAATGGGGAAATGGTTCCAGTCGAATGGAGCCTATACAGGAGGTAACTGATGAGGCAGTAGTGCAGATGCACTGGGGTGGGGAACGGGCCAAGTGAAAGTAAGGAAAGGTGGGTGATAAGATTAGGCAAAGCAGATATTAGTAGAAGTGGGTGGATCTGGTATATGATAGTGGTGCCCCCTTTGCCCTTTATAGGGCATGGTATTCCTAGGCTGTACTGCCCTAGGAGGGGTTGCTACTGGGACCCAAGTTCACAGTAGGCCCTTCCTCTCCATTTCCATTCTCTCAGTCTGCTTTTGATAGTCCCAACCATCTGTGCATATGCCTGCTTGTCATAGCAGACACTTCTAGTGTACTTCTGGAGTTATGTCAGGAGGGGTAGTGCCTGGGAGACATTCAGATGTCCATTGGTTTTCCATGCTGGATAGTGGATAGCAGTGGTGGTGGGGATTCACCTTCTCTCAAGGTAAAAGCTGATCCATCACTCAAGCACTAATGCTGGCAACAGAGGCTTGATAATGCCAGAGGACCATCTCTAAAGGGTGAGCTAAAAATATAGCATAAGTTTGTTCCTCCCTGTGTCTCAGGATGTCTTATTGTAATCGCCAATAATTGTGAGGTAATTGAACTGGTACATAATATTCCTTCCTTAAAAGCTCATGTCCACAATCTTCACACATATTTCTTCAGAGCCCCACTTGGGCATGCCTAGTATCTGGTGGAAAAGAAAATGGAGTTATTCTTTAAACTTTTCAACCTGGCACAGGTATTGGTCCTATGCCCCATGTTTCAGCACCAATAATACATCTTCAACAGGGAAGTGACAGAAAGGACTTTGCTGTCAAAAGTGAATTCCAGGCCATAGGGCATGGTAAATTGAAGCCAGGAAGGGAAATATGACCTTGATATATGGTGTAGCAGAGGCGAGAATATCATCGGATCCTACAGAATGGAGTTCATGCTTGATCCAATGAAACATAGAGTCTATAAATACTCTATTAATATATCATAATTAGTGATGGTGATTATGTCATATATTTGCAAACTTACTGATAAGAGTCTGGTGCCTTCAGGACCTCCATTAGCATGGAAAATAAGATAGCATATATCATCTTGGCAAGTCATGAAGAAATAAAATGTGGAAGGGAGAAATGTCCTTGAATATCGACACTGGTAGAGATGATGAAACTGTCAGTTAGGGAGTGGAGGGGGCCTAGGGAATGAGTGTCAGAATTGGTGGTGAAAATGGATAAAAGGAGAGTGTGATAGGCTACCAGAAGCTGAACAGATGAGGAATGTAGGTCTATACAACACTTTCTCAGTACCTGTGTACACCATCTCTAATCCTAGTTCAATACTATTGGATAGAGAGCTTGATCATCAGAAGCTTCCAAATTGATGAAATCCTGATGTACATTGTGGTCAATTCAAGCTGGACCATTCTTGGGCCATAGACCATCTCCCTCATTGTTCCTTCCATTGGCAAAACCCATATTCTGCCAATCTTATACAGAATGAAGGTTTTGGAATGGCCTATGATCTGGATTATACCAATCAGATTGATTACAATAGCTACTAGTACATATTATCCTTGTCTTCTTTCTCTTTCTGGCCATTAGTATCTTTAAACACAAGAATCCACAAGGTCATTATGATCAATCTGTCACAGTGAAGTCTGTAGCTCTCCACAGAGTTGTGCTCCTGTAATAGCTGGAATGGGCATCTTAATGAACCATCAGTAAATGTAATAAGGTGGGACTGACAGGAAAACTTACATTTGGGTACTCCAGCCAGTTATGAGCTCCAGAAGATTTAGATCAATATCACCTGTAGAATGAATAGTAGAGAAATACTTCTTTCCAAGGCCTTTGATTGAGGTCAACCAATTAGCTTGCTGCTCACTCTGAGTCTTGATGTTTGACATCACATGTATCCCAGCTATGAAACAATCATCGGTTGCCTGAACCTACCCTGAATTGGTGAAAAATAGAGACAGATCACCAAGGTCCACTGCATCAGTGGTTTCCCTGTCTGTGAAGGCACCATCCATGTACTGAGTGGGGAGTGTAGAGTAGAATTTCAAAAAAGAGATCCTCTGTGCTGACATTCTGCAGCATGGGGTGTACCATGAAGTACTAGGTTTTTAAGAACAGCAGTTGTACCCAGTGTAAGGCTGTTTGTGAGTACAAAGGGGAATTGGTGCAAGATGATGGAAATAAAAGATGTGTAGGAAAACAGCTATGACTTCAAGTAGAGATAAACAATTGAAAGGCATGATTTGCACATCACTCACACACCAGAAAAGAAAGTTCATTGATGATGTACACTCTGATCCCCTCAAATACAAGATGTCTGTTAGTCTAGATGACATTGACTGCAAGGTTTAACCTTACTACTGTCTTGCTGTGATAACAAGTAGATGCCTACTATATGGCTTCTGCTAAAATTCCTTATAATTGGCATAAACATTGACATGTTGTGCTGGCAGGTGAGCGTGAGTAAAAGCCCAATGAGGCTGAGACAGATTGAGACAATAACAAGTCAAATGCAAGAATATAGTCACTGAAGTCTAGCACCAATCAATCTTGAAGCTATCAACCTAGGAATGAACAAAAATTGGTGGGAGAACAAAGAAAGCTTAAGACAAAGAGAACTTACAGAAGAGTCCACTTGTGTGATGCTCATATCCAATTGGGCACACATGTATATCTGCGGCAGTGTGTGTGTGCAGCTGTACCTAGTGAGATAATAACTGTTATGAAAGTTGAGAAGTGCCTAGTATGAGTCTCTCCTCTGCAATCAAAGCTCAGTCAAGTTGAGAATAACATTTTGTGGTGAAGATTGAACACCACACAGCACAAGAGATGATAGCAACTCTGGTTTAGAGAGTCGATTCCATGGGGACAGAGGATATACCATCTTCTAGGCATCATTAATATTGCACTTGATCTTGGAGGTATGTTGAACTATATACACAGGGCCTGATTTAGCATGTGGATCCTTTGTAGATTTTCACTCAGCTTCCATGGCATTGGCCCATATAGCTTTGACTGCCTATGGTGTGCCGCATTCAGAGGAAATGCAGTCAAACCAGTGTTGGATGGTGTAATTGGCTGCAAGGCACTTGTGATACTTGTGCATGAGTTGGTATGAGTGGTTGAATTGGAGAAAAAGTATACATAACACTATATGTACTAGTGCATGTCTATGTCCCATGGACATTGAGTGAGCAACAACCTGACACAACTGCATGTGTTGTGTCGTGCAGAAAGTAGAGCTAGAATTTTTCACATGAAACTTTATACACCGCTAAAATTCACCACTTGAAGTGACATGAGTGCATGTAAAGTTAGAAGCATGTCTGAACCCCTACCAGTATATTGGATGGAGATAGCTACATCTCAAAGAGCTTTGTCCTGAAATTGTTGTATAAGTCCATCCAATGTGTTGCTGTACTATTCCTTTGAAAAGGTCTCCAACAATCATATTCCACTTATAAATTATTCATAAGTACCATTCTATATTAGTTCTGATGCAAACTACCATACCTGATGAACTACACAACCAGGAACAATGTAACAACTCTTCAACAATAAATGTCTTAAAATGATCAGACCAGGACTCAAACTACAAACAAAAGTGATAATGGAAGAGTTACAATATAGTCGTCTAGACAAGTGTCTTAGAGAGGTCCAGTCTAGAGTCTTATAAAGAGAAGGGATGAGCAAGAACATCAAGTAGATTCTTAGGGAAGGTACAAGAGGTTTAGACTACTGACTACTAACTAGGGTTTATATATCTACAAGAAGTGTGCATAGATCAAGACGTAAAAGGTAACTAGACTAAATAGGAATGTGAGTGAGACAGAGAAGTTGTATGTGAAGGTTCTGAAATGGAAGATCTGTATCTACTGAGAATATTGAAGAAGAGATAGAGATGAAAGAGAAGATCTATTGTAAGTAAGGTCATTAAGAAAGATCAATCATTATGTTGATTGGAGATGGAATTGGCAATGCAAATAGTGAGATGTGGGTATAGAGGTACTAGTGACTTTGTGATAGTTGACATTGTGAAGAGTGATAGATGTGATGAATGTGAAGAGGTGAAGTGGTCACATGACTTGGGTGCTTAGACTGAGACATAACATTAAGATGAAAAAAATAATTTGTTTGAGGAACTAGTGACAAACAATAAGGTGTGGAAATTTCTCTTGAAGCAGACAATGGGCCTTTTGTGATTCACCAGATGCATCTGTGGTGCAAGTAATAACAGTAGCCCCCCATTCTGTCTCAGTCTTGCTGATTGCTTCTAATATCTGCTGAAGAAGTTCTGTGGCTGTCTGAGGATCCCTCGATGCATTGTGAACTTTGACTGTATGTAACTAGACTAACAATTAGTTAATATAATTGACACTGTCAGCCTTCATGGACATACCTTTCCCTGTGCTGTCATTATAAAGCCCAGAAGATGGTGATAATTTTCACCTGTCTAGCCATCACATTGCAAGGTTGTATTAGCACCTCAGCATTCCTTTTTTGCAACAGTTTTTAAGTGTGTTGAGGGTGTGCAGCATGACATGTTGTGTGAGGACTTTTGCAGAAGGTATTTTTGCTTTCAGAAGAAAGTGGTCACATAAAATCTTCCACTCATGATTCTTGACCTATCACAGTGGCAAACCAGTGCTTACAGTGAGTCTCATGAGGCAAATCTCCCAATCAGCTCAGTCTGAAGCTGTCCAAGGTTGGTCACTGAAACCATGGAGGATTTGTCCTAGTACCACAGGGGAAAGAGACAGAATTAAGCTAGAAACAGAGCAGTACAGACCAGACTGGTTTAGACATTGACATTTCCCCAGCCGGGATGGTAACAAGACTGTGGAGAGAGCTGAACTGACTGAAAGAGAGTTATGGGTGAGGAGACTAGAGGAACCTGAGGACACAGTCTCAGGAATTAGCAGGGTAGGCAAACTCAGGCATGCAGACTTGGACTCTAGAACAGATAATACATCAAGAGCTGGTGGAGTGAGAATGATCAGTTGTATACTAGTAGTGGTACTGCCATTATGGGCCTAGGTACTTTTTCTCAGTAAATATTGTTTATGGTATTTCACTCATGCTTGTGAATGAATGTCTTCTGAGTGCATTTCACATTCATGCAGGTGATGTAAGAGTGTTGTTGGCTGACTGACCAACCAGATATGCTAGGAATCATTCTGGTCAATAGCCCATACTATATTTCAAAGTTAGTAGAAAACAGTAGCTACACAAGAATTCACATACAAGTGCCTGCAATTGCAGCTTCATTTCTCAGTGTATCTCACTGACCTGTATAAATTTGCTTCTCATCAAGTGCCTGCTCATGAGCTATGTGCTGCTTGTAGAGCCTCACACATATAACTTTTGCCTTTTCACTAACCATTAAAGCACTTTATTTTGTAGTATAACCTGGATGCACTATGAAGTGATCCCACCACCATCCTCTATTTGATTTTTGCTAGTCTTTGCCATCAAGTAATTTAAGTCAGTCAAAGTACATTGAAAGGTGAGAGTGACAGTCCATCATCAGGCTGCATGTTCTTGAAGTATACCCAGCCAAACATGCCAAAACCACATGTTTATAATGAGACTACATAGAGATATCTTATCAATAATGATTGATATTATGTTGGCCAAGTATGGTGTAGTCTAACATGATAGGACCAGAGAACAACTCAAAGTCATGTTCAGGTGAAAAATGATGAACTTCACCAGCTTTCCCAGAAATTGCAGTTAACAACCATGACCTTGATTCACTGACCAGCAGAACACTGGATTCAATCTAGCCCATGTGATCTCACCTACATGATCTCTATCATTGAATTTTGTCAAGTCCACTTGAAGTCTTAAGTGTTTGAACAACAATAATTGAAGTCAGACACACCAACACTATACTACAGTTTATAAAATCTCATCTTATATGTCAAGGAATCAATGAACATTTTAAGTACAAGAAGACACATTATTTTAACATTGCAAATGGAATACAAGATAGAGCCTCACAAAAACTGCTCAAATTAGCACCCAATATAACATATTGGATGCCATAATGTAAGACACATCACTGCTGGGATGTGTTGCCAACATTATTCCTCACATCTCAGAATGATATATTACCCCTTTTCACGCCATTACAATAAAATCACTATATAGTCAAAATATCTAGATGACATAAAAATATATTAACCCATTCAATTGCTCTTCATCTCACATGTGAAGTTGTGAACTACCAACATTGTAGTCATATCTACTATAGCTTGACACCATGCCTATGTTACATTTATTTTTCTCTAAGTCCTTTGTTTGATATCCTTTGGTTGCACTACACTTCTATGCATAAAGTTCAAATTGTTGGGGCCCCAACTCTCCCCAACTTCCTGGCTTTGGTTTTGACAAGGTCAGAATGTAGCTTGGTGAGGAAGAAACAAACAGTCTTATAAAGCCACTTCTGAGATATGTAGTAACCATACATCTGAGCATTACATTGCAGAGGTGGAAGGGTTATATTGATACAGTTTGGCTTAGATGGTTTGATATGTCTAGATTTGCACTGTTTGTCTTGCTTGGCTTTATCAAGCTGTGCAAAAGCTATTGAGAGGGATATCAACGAACAACACCTGGACATACCTGCATGCTAGATATCACTCCATCAAGGTTTTGTAATTGTTGAGACATGTTTAAGACGATCTTGAGTTCATTACATAATGTTGGAATGTTGAGCAAGTGACCTTATTTTGGCACTCCAAACTTATATAAACTTCAATCAAGCAATGTAAGAACAAGTTTTACTAGCACTGTTTCATTATCAGTCCCACAATATTAATGGCAAACATTAATACTGATCTTGGATTATATCTCACCATTGATGCTGCCACCAACAACCTGAGCCAGAGGGAATGCCCCTGGTATACAGTCTAGATCATCTGCTTGAACCAATACCTTTTTGCACACTCCAATACTCAAACAACAGCCTACTCAACAATCCCTCAATATTCACTCATCTGGATGTACAATGTTGATATTGATCATAATACTACACCATCCAGTCATTTATCATCACCTGCTAGTGACCATATGTGAGTATCTTCCCCACCTCAGCATCTTTAACTTTCCAAATACTCTGTTAAGATACCTGATTTTATCCAAGTTCTCTATTGTACCATTCAACCACAGGAATTTCTGCCCCACCATAGTCAACGGTGTGTTATCCTGACTGTTGAGGTCAAGCTAGCACTCAAAGCCACTACCTTTAACCACATTCTAAACTCATAAGTGGTGAAGCAGGTTATGTATGCATTTGCTTCTGATCATACTCTCCAGTCACTGGGTGTGGTGCTAGCTTGTGGGTTATACTGGGTGTATTATAAAGTTGACTGGACATCTTCTCATGAGTTGGAGTATTTGGAGAGGACCATATATGACTCAGATTATGTGCCCCAGATGGAGAACTCCATAGATACAGAATCAAACAACTCAGGCTCCTCAGGCTCCTCTGCCCTTAGTGACCCTCCTGATGTCTTATTCTACATTTCTGAATGTATTAACTCTATTCTTAATGGTTGCAGCCAATTCTCCTTTGACGATGTGCCACTCTGCATGCAGGCTCTCACTTGGAGAGCCTCATATCTGAAAGTTTGTCATAGTCAGTTCTTTAGGATTGCAGGGCAATGTGAAGTTGTGGTTTACTCACACTGACCTGCATCATTCCTATAGGTAATAGAGAGGCACGAGCATATGATGAGAGAGCTGAAGCAAATGGGCATTGAATTGCCATTGTGAATAATCTGCACTTTGTCATATTTGTTGTTTTTGGTCTTATTCCATCCAAGTTTCCTCCCACCAGATAATATCCATAACTTTAGGCCTTCATTATTATGATTTGAGTTCCGATAATATTGAAACACAAGACATTTGACTCAAGTCTGCACATGTAATTACTTGAATGGATGCACACATCCTGTACCAAGTACAGGTGGATGTCTCTCAAGTGCTGGTACCTGATGAACATGTCTAAGCTGCATCTTCCACAGTTTCATCAAAACTTCCCTACACCCAAATTTAGGGACCCCATGAGATTCGGCTTGAAAGCATGATTGTCAACTTTACCTGCTTCCTTAATTCAGTCTACCTTAGGCTGAATATGCCAGCATCAAATGTCTGAAATCATAGTTTATCAGGTTGCAAACCTTATGCCTCTCCTTCTGTTAACCAATGCAGCTATCTCATCAAATATACTCTGCAAAGACTTCCTTGTGTGCTGCCAAGTGATGAGCTCAGCCACAGACCCAGTCTGTTATTGAGCCCCAAATCCAAAAACCTCCACTGTTTTGATTTCTCTTCCTACTATCATGATCATGATCTTACTCACTGCCAACCTAAGTGACCGCTTCTGCTACAACTAGCTCATGGGTCCTATTGCTTTGAAGAGAATTAAAGTTTTTGACATGAATCTTCATCCTAACAGTCCCTGTAAGTGCTGCCCATTTTGTTTTGCTAGCCAAGATAACTGCTCAGTGAGTCCTTCTCATTAACTACTGTATCTCCTTATAGAGTGCAACCATGTTTATACATGCATGGGAATATCTCATTTATTTTGGAGACTAACTAGTAGTCTGATCCCACCCATTACTTGCATGACTTTGATCATAGGTAATTTAAATTTTGTCATGTACCATGAACTCTATTTAAGGCTCAAGTTTTTCATTGGCAACTTTCAAGAACCCAATGAACTTACTTGTATGCACAGAAGGTGAGTATATGTGCATTACATCCACTCTCTTCCACTTATGCTAAGTTTCTTTCTAGCCCTAATCATTAAGCAACATAAAATGGGCCTCACTGTTTGTCATTCTGGCACCCTTGATTCACAGCTCTGTTGATTTGCCTATTTTTAGAGATCAATGAATGTGAGTTTTTGGTAGGTGTTCTTCTTTCATTTCTGATGTGAGTGCTTGCTTGTTGTGATTGTATTAGTTGAGAATTCTGGTGACTCAACTTCAATCTTAGACTAGTAACTGGTCCTGCAGCCATTTTCTGCATTTAAGTAAATTTAGCTGGTGCTAAGGATGAGTCCAAGTGGTCTACTTTTCCTGCACTGCAACCTAAGCACAAGTGCCTAATGTTTTCTGTCATGCACTTTACATGTACTACACTCATTTCTAGGGCTATCACCAGCATAATACTTGGTTATCTCACTGTGCTGCACTGCACCATCAGCCTCTGGGCCTACCATTTGACAGAATTCTCTGCACCATTTTTATCTTTCACTGCACCTGTTAAGGTCATGCTCAAGGGGGAGGTTACTCAAAGGGCTTCGGCTTCAGCTTGTGTGCTGCGCCCCTTACCCGAGTACGTGCCCTTTAATTTCCAAGGGGCAGAGGGGAAGTCCAGAGGTCAGACGTCGGGAGAGTTCAGCGGAACTCTGGAAGATTATGAGAGAATGAAGTAAGGCTACTATGGACAAGTCCGGAGTAGAAACAGAACAGAGTTTAGACTACCCTAAGGTAGAGCCAGAGATTTAGTCCTAAGGTTTTAACCCTAAGACTTGGAGGTAGACAAGAGATGAGACTCAAGTCCGGAGAAACAGGAATGAGCAGAACTAAGATGATATTCAAACTGAGGAGTTCCAGAGTATTACAGGAGTTTATATACTGTAGGTATCATGTAAGTAAATCAGTCAGCAAAGTAAGGGCTATGTATGAAGCATGTGGAAAGTCTATTAGTAAGTGTATACAGATCAAAGCAGTGAGGTCAGAAATGAAGTATGAATGGACGGATCAGTAAGCATAGCGGAAAGGATATAACTGGTAGCCGGAGAAATAGCTATTCTAAAAGGAGCTAGGGGTGAGTGCGGAGATGAAGGCGGAGTGCTGGGTGGAATAACAGGACGGAGAACCAGACTTTAGTGGGGGAGATCCAGAATTCTAGATCCAGAGGTACGGGATATGACAGCACCACTAGCTTCACTTTCCAACTCCACTCCTGAAGGCAAATAGGAATGCTATATCCACAGCAGAACAAATAGCTCCGATATTTGTGCCAATCCTTGCAACCCCAATTCCCCTATCTCCACCTCCACCTCTATCATGGCTCGTCTGCCAGTTGGACCCTCCCATATGTCACCTCCTGACTAGCAAAGTCACCCTCAAAATGTTTCGGTCATTTCAACTCCTTTGGATTTATCTTGTTATCTTGTTCTAGGATGTTGCTAACTGCCAAAGGGTCAGAGGGTTTCACAAGTTGCAAATGGTTGTTCATTTGAATTCATGGTTGAGGCTGCTTTGGATGTTGCCAAGCAATGGCAATGAGATGAGCAGGTTGCAAAATTGCTTGTTGGGGACTTGAAAGAGTACTACAAGTGCTCTGACATATTCACAGTGGGCCAGGCTGATGCACTTGACTGGTGGGAGACCCTTCCTGTCAGCCCTAAGCAATGTCCATCAAGGCATATACAATAATCATCCATTCAATTGTACCTCACACTGCCGATATTGAATGCTACTTTCTCAGGTCTCAGTGGAGTTCAGTCTGTCAAACGATGCAATTTGTCAGTTCACACCTTTGAATCACTCAGTAAGCTTCGTGCAAACTATGCCTACTTCCTGCACAAGATGGACTCCAAAGCTGGGAAGCCTGTTTGCTGAAAACATGCATACATGCATACCTGTCCTGAGTGTGGACTTGATGTGGCTCTTGCCAACAAGTTGCAAAAGTCATTTGCATGGATTCCCCCTCTTGTGGCAGACTCCAATGATGATGAATATTTTACGGGTTCGGAATCTATCACTGATGAGGAGTTGATGGAGGAATGTGATAGATTTGAGCACAAGACATGGGAAACTGACTAGCTGCATGAAAATGATGAAGCAGGTGCCAGTGGTAGCTCAACTCAAGTTGTATCAGATAGTGTACTGGACATTCTGGAAGGTGGCATCATTGACTGGAGTGAGCTAGAGAGGGTTGACAAAGGTATCATGCCTACTGGTTTTATTGAAGAGATCAATATACTCAATTAAGGCTCAGCAAGTGTGCCAGGTTGGAACATTGATGTACTTTTGATGTCAGAAGGTGTAGCATCAATGTAATGGCTTAGAATTATTTTCCCATACTTCAAATGTACTCACAAAGACTCAAAAAACACTCAAAACATTTTTGCTGACTTCTGTCATTCTCCCAATTGCCATGAGGCTAAATCCATTCTGCCCCCTATGCTACTATTATCCCATGCTGAGAAAGAGATTCATCAGGAAAAATACTATAGTTCTTTAGGTAATAATCAATTGACTATCTATATATAGCTATTTTATTTCATAAGAAGCTCATACATGTTAATAGTAATTCTCTGTATAATATATTATTGCTTTGAATACTATAGAAGATGTAATCTAGAGTATAGTCAAAGTAAAGTAGATAATTAATGTCTACAGTACTCCATCCAACAAGAACACTATTAGAAAAGTCAGGTATCAAATGACAAGTCTGATGCATAGAGGAAAACCTTACAATAGCTCTAGCTCATTCTCTGGTGGCTTAGTACAGACTTTTGCTTGTTTACCTTTCTTGTACTGAGTGCATGATCTGGCAGTACTAATATGATGATTATGACCTTGTTCAATCTGAAAACATTTACTATAAGACATTGGACAGGGATATGGGAGGTTCCTAGAAACAACAAATTGTTGTCTGCATATCAAGATATAAATACATTCATGCAAGCTGAATTGACTATCACAGTTATATATATTTATTACTCTGGGAGTCCTACTAGTACCTTGGGTGTCTTAAAAAGATGGGCACTTATCTTGCAGTGGTATACACCTCTAGGTGCTTTGAGCAGTGTTTGTAATACAATATTACTCTTTAATGTGCAAAAAGGAATAGGGTTTTTCCTGATGTATGTTGTCAAATTAATTCTTTGAGAAAATTTTTGCTAAAATCATCCTCAGGGTATTGCAGTTGATCCAATTGATATATGGGCAGGACTATCACATCTCAGGTCACCACTTAGACCGCTTAATTCTATTGCCCTGTGTCTTCTCTCTATCTGTTCAGGTCATGCTCAAAGGAAGAGTAACTCAAAGGGCTTGGCTTCAGCTCATGTGCTGTGCCCCTTATCTGAGTCCATGCCCTTAATTTCTGAGAGGCAGAAGGGAAGTCCGACAGAAGTCTGGGTAAGTCTGGAGGTCAGACACAGGGGGAGTTTAGCGGAACTCCAGAAGACTAGGAGTAAATAGAGTAAGGCTACTTCAGACAAGTCCAGAGTAGAAATGAGATAGACTACCCTAAGATAGAGCCGGAGATATAGTCTTCAGGAATAAATCCAAAACTCAGAGGTGGACAAGAGGTCAGACTCAAGTCTGGAGAAACAGGAATGAGCAGGAACTAAGATGATATTCAAACTAAGGAGTTACAGAATTTTACAGGAGTTTATATACTATAGATATCAAGTAAGTAATCAGTCAGCAAGGTAAAAAGCTATGCCTGAAGCATATGGAAAATCTATTAGCAAGTGATCAAAGAAATGAAGTTGGATATGAAATGCAGATGGATGGATCTGTAAGCAAGGCAGAAAGGTGTATGACCAGTAGCCAGAGAGCAGTAATCTAAAAGGAGATAGGTGTGAGTCTGGAGATGAAATTGGAGCACCAGACAGAGAACAGGATGAAAATCTAGACTTTCATAGGGGAGAATCTGGAATTCCATGTCTGGAAATATGGGATATGACACTATCTGCCCAAATTCTGCCTCTTGTATATGTTTTTTTAGCATATTTGGCACAATTCTCATGAAATGGAGAAATTGGCTCTTAAGAGGCAAGGGATAAGTCAGCTTGCACAAAACCTCATCCAAGCTGTTGATGAAGAGGAAGCTTTTTCTGCCACAGAAATAATGCACTCAGCACCTGTCACTGATTTATTCACCTGCATTGCCATCAGAAAATTACTTGACTATTCTCATACTAAGGAATGACTAAGGTCTTTCTATAAAATGACCATCCAAGGTTTAGATGCTGAGCTTGGGTTGTACAAACTTCTCAACTTAGATACAGAAGGAATCAAAGATCTGGAGTTTCCTCAAGTTGATGATGTCCTTGCTGAATAGATTTATTACTGTTTTGATGTACTATATGATGTACATTGTGTACTGTACTGAGAACATTGATAGTGGATGTGTCATAGCAGGTGTCGTGTAGAAGGGAATATGTTATAAGTCTTTTAATGTGGTTTGCTCTTTCTTCATTGTCCAATCATAATGTGATTGTATAATATTCAGACAGGACTTCTGGTACTCCACGTGTTCAGTTCACTTACATCCATGGAAAAGTTCATCACTGAATGTACACTAACTTTCATAAATGTTCATTGACCAGCTGTCATATACCTGATCCGACCACTCCGATATTGATATCTGCTCCGCTTTCCAACCCCTCCACCCCATTCATCCTCCGCTCCGTCCTATCACAAGTCCACATTCCGCCCTACGCTTCTGCTCAACCGCTCAACCAGTCCCCTTCCATAACCTCTCCATCCAACTGGAGCTCTTTCCCCTTTGAGATATATGCCTTCCCTATTGGTACATAGACCCTTACTTCTGGATGACTGGTAATTCCTATTGCCGCTCGATCGCTGATCCGACGCGTACATATTGATATCCACCCCGACTTATGTCTTTGCCTATGTAAAATACTTACAAACTATATCCTTGTTGCATAGCCTTACTGCATAGTTATCCTGATCACTGCCTCATACATAGTAGTATATAACATATCATGTACTTAGATATTTTTCCTCAGTCTTAATATTACTTGTCTTCTCACAGTTATATCTTGTGAGAATTCTCAGTAGAACCTTGCCTCCTCTGGACACAAGTCTCAACTTGTTGTCACCTCTGACCCTCTGACCCTCCGCTCTGACTTAGAGCCATGCTCTAAGTCTTTCCCTTATTACTCCGCCCCTATCAAATATCCTCCTTCGCCCCTCTGCATCATCCTCCGCCTTTCCCACCCCTACCAACATTCCCCTGCTCTTATCCCCTCTCTGCATCACTCCCTGCCTTCTCTGCTCCGCTCCTAGTCGGCCCACTGCTAGTAGCTCCTACTTCCCAACCCTCAGAGTGGACCAAAGCGGACCAATTGTCCTACCGTCGGACAACGTCAGACCCACTCCAAATTTGGGGCACGTACTCGGCTAAGGGCGCAGCGCAAGAGCTGAAGCCAAGCCCCGACCCCTCTGCTTCCTGAGTCAGCATGGTATCTAACACCAGCAGAACACTGGTTGATTCAGACTCAATTCACAAGGTATCATATGGCCTATGTCACTGAGTTAGACTCGAGTTATTATACAGTGGTTATATTTGTGACATGATTGATTTTTCACCAGTGAAAGGATGCATGGCATATCCAAATACCATGAATGACTACATAGGGTGGCATACTAGTATCATCACCAAAAGTCCTCAGTTCAGAGATGGTGAGCTAAGGTCACATCAGGCCTTAGAAGGCCTTTAAGGCCTCTCAGATGTATCAGGTCACATGGTCCCCTTATCTACTCATACCTATGTACATTTTTCTAGCTAATGTGATGATCAACTTATAGCACTTCCTCAGCTGATAGCTGGTTGTCATACTGATATATCATGCTAAATGATTGTCATGCTGATATGTTGTGCTAAGTGATTGTCATTCTGCTATGATAATACATGGCATTAGCTACGACTATAGGCACTGATAGCACTGTAAAGTGGCCCAAGTAATTAATAGGATAAAATGGCTAAGGTCCTAACAAGTAAGTGCAATGGTACAACAACCTTTAAAAGCGAAAAATTAGAGCAAGGAGACTCAAAAGCATTGTGAGATGTGAGCAAGAGTTGCCAGTGTGGTGGATATGCAGTGATACAATGTGGATTCAGGACATGATTTGCAGTGAATCTGAGACACAAGTCAATCAGAATGCAGGTAGGGACAAGTGGCAACATACAACTTATAGGTATGTGAGAATAACACTCAGGCCTTTGTGCCTGTCTGGAGTGCTTATGATGGTGTGGATCAGTAGAGTTGCAGGATGTATATGAAAGGGTGTCAATGATGAGAAGTCAATGCCAGACACAATAGCATGATGTGGACCAAAGGCACCAAGGTCATAGGACCAAGCATCTGAGCTGACAATCCATCTTGAGTGTGAGGGGAAATGTGTGCAGAGCACAAGAATGTGGTCGACAAGGGAATTTAAGAGTTTTGAAGATTCAAGTGCAGTGAGAAGTTCTTCACCAAGTGACTCTTGGTAGCATCATCCTTGACCAGAATCCACTGTCTCAAAGGTTTGTGCAGTTCCAGGCTAACCTTCTTGAGTTGCATGTTGCACATTATGAATGAGTTCATTTCATAGATTGAGCTGTCCCTAAACACAACATAATGCAAACTCTGGACTGGTGGCAATAGTGCCTTGCTTAGGCACCAAGGCAGGCGAGTTGAATATTTCAAAGCACTCACCAAAGATGTGAGACAGAATCTTCATATAAGAAGACTTGTGCTTGGGCATATATGGCACCTCCAAGTTGAAGTGGAGTGTTAGAGACTGTGCTCAGACGGAGAAGTGGAGGGGTCGGGGCTTGGCTTCAGCTCTTGTGCTGTGCCCTTAGCCGAGTACATGCCCTGAATTTGGAGCGGATCTGACAATGTCCGACAATAAGACAAGTTAACCGCTTAGGTCTGCTTTGGTGGATCGGGAGGTAAGAGCTGTTAGTGGTAATCTGACTAGGAGTGGAGCGGAGAAGGCAGAGGGAGCAAGGGGAACAATAGGGGAAGTTGGAGAAGTAAGAGCAAACACTTTAGAGCGCTACTCTAAAGTCAGAGTGGAGGGTCAGAGTGACGACAAGGTAAACTTGTGTCTAGAGAGAGAGCAAAGTCCTACAGAGAATTCCCACTAGTAGAGACTGCGGGAAGACAAGTAATATTAAGACTGGGGTGTAGCTAAGTACAGGATATGTTTTATATACTTCTAAGTAGGAGGCAGTGACT